AAAGATCATTAGTAGCTCGTAGACTCCCTGACTCATTATTACTAGTTATGTTTTTTTGGTGACTCACCAAGAAGCACTCTTGCTCACAGCTCAAAATGCATCCTCTTTTGGGTACTTGCAATTTTCTTAAATTGTTATTTACTATCACCGTATGTTGAACAACTTACTTGCTATTGACCTTTTAATGCGATTTCTTATTCTTGATTCTGTAGATATCAATTAAAAATAATAAAAAGCAGACAAAACTGAAAAAATGTTCAACGCTCATGATAGCCTGATGCATGCGATATTTACAATGATGAGCTTAACACTGAAACAAGTTAACTATACAAGATGGCATGGTGTTGATTCCTCTGCCCTTCTATAAGGGAAGAAGACACTGATCCTTCACCAATGATCACCTTACCTTCCAGGTGAGGAAAAAAAAGGTAACTTTTCAAAGCAATATTCGATATTTTGCTACAGTTGGACTTGAGAGTAAAAAAAAACGCCAGTTCCTTCAAAATTACCTCTTCACAGTCTATCGGATTGTCCAACAGATTAAAAAAAACAAAAGCAAAAAATAAAAAAGCAAGGAGACATAAAAAGTGATAATCTTAGCCTAAAAAAAGCCTTCTACAGCGGCAATAAAGGCGTTCTTATAGAATTATGGGGGAGGGGTGGGAAAAAAAAAGCTTTGATGATACAAAAACAAGCTTCAAATGAACTAAGCGTGCGAAAAGATTAAAAAAAAAATATTTCTCACAAGATGTCGCGAAATCACTCCTTCGCTTAATACATTTTTGGGTACACCTATTCATTCGTAAAAATCAAAAATCAGTTGAGGAGAGAACACGTCTTTTAGGTTTCTCATCACAGAGATGTAGAGGCAGGATAAACAATAGATACGAGCAAATCTGCGAGTATCCAACGAATTTCGTCGTCAAACGCAAAATGTTGAACTTACAAGATATAGTTACCCGTATGCAAACTTACAGTACACGCAAGTTCCGTGGAAGATCAAAAACTTACTCAGATGACAAAGAAGATATCGCGTTACTTGAAAGATCTCTAAAACATGAAAACATATGGGTAACAAGGGGGTAAGTCTCAAAAAAAAGTGTAGTGCTGCGTCGGTGGGGGTAACAAAGTAATTTGGTTTTATCAACTAAGTTTATAATGTCACTTGGCCACCGTAAAGAGTTTAAAAGCTGTCTTACAACTCTTATAGCTGTCTAGCTTCTCGCCAGCAAACTTGGGGCCATATAAAGTTTTTTTTCAATTGACACATGAAAAAATTATTTCTTGTTGTCATGCTGTCACCAGTGAACCGCTATGTGACATCCAGTAAGACGTCTGCGATCATCAATTTACGGGAAACGTTCAGAGCTTCGATTGATATAAGAATACAGTCAAAAAAAAAAAAGCGGTCCCGCACGGGGACCGGGGAATGGCTGGAATTAGGATATTATGAAAAAAAAAAAAAAAAAAAGAAAGAAAAACTGATAAAAACGTCATTTATGCCATAATTGACCACTTAAAAAAAAAAACTCGCACAAAAAATAGTACCAATATTTATTTCGGAGATAGATATGGATTAAAAAAAACTTGAAAGATTATTCTTAGTTGTACTTGAGTGGATATAGGCTGATAGTTTCGAAAAAAAAAGTTTGGGGCTGCGTCGGTGGGAGTAACGAAATAATTTGGATATATCAACAAAGTAAAAAAAGTAAATTGGCCACCGTAACGATTACAAAAGCTGACGTTTCGAGCGTTAGCCCTTCGTCGGTACTTGGGTGGTCCCGTGACCGTTCAATTCAGGTGGAATACAATACAAACAGGCCGTTGGGACTAACAGGGGGGTTTCCGCCTAATAGAGGTGAAATTACAGTACGTAATTAAGGGAAAAAAATTTCGGGAATTCGAAAACCGATTGTGCAGTGTCGCTTAATACAGATTCCACTGTAAAAAAAACACTGGATACTATAGAGTGGCAGACGTCGGGCCAGATCCGAAATAACAAAGAAAAAAAAACAGAAATAAGCAGCGAATATTAGCATTTCCCCTCCATGTTGGAATTTCCACCTTAAAAAAACAAGCCTAACGCAGAACAATCTTAAAGCTACAAGCAGCTGCGTGCTGTAACTATCAAATCTAAAGCTTTACAAACGTAAAATCTGGTACCCTAAAACAAAATATAATTCATGAGAAAGCAAGCTCACAGATACTTAGTATCGTCAGGTAGTCGAACGGGAAGATTCTTGAGATTTCGCCCACTGCAATCGGCTAAGAGTCCTGGAAAACTTTGTTTTTGGTCTCCTGAACACTCACAGACTCCGCCACAAGGAAAATTGTCCGCCTTTACATACAAACTCCAGATCAACAGCAGTGAAAAAAAAATTAGTGATGCCAAGGTAAGCAGTATCAAAAGATTGTGCAGCAACTGAGTGCAATGTCAAAACAAATGAGTTACAGTTAACCGCGAGTATTTGGTTCGTTAGCCGAACAAAAATACTGGGTAATCCACGTGGTGCGTTAGAGCGCGGAATCTGAAAGTCTCCCGAGACGAAGAATTGAAAAAAAAGCCACGCATGAAAAGAAGAAAAATACATTTCTTCAACATTAGCAGAGCTCTGCGCACCTGATTCTTCTAGTCTTGAGTGCAGCTTGTTCAGAGCGCTAGCGAAATTAGGCCCGCAAAAAAATAGAGTTTTTTGTTTGTTTAATTTAAGCGAAAAGTCTGTCAGAAAGTAGCGCAAAAAAAAAGTGACCCCCCAATTTGAAAGACATGCCAATTTTTGCTAATCTTCAAAGGACCCCAAAAAAATGCCTCGGAGGCTTCCAAATTTTGGTTAAACAAATAATAAAGTTTTTTCAACCAAAAAAAAGTCATTTTGTGCAAGATATGTCTGGAAAAAAATTCAGTGAGAAAAATACTTTAGAAAAAAACTCTAGTTTGGCGCGCAGGATTTTCCTTGTCCATCGGACCCCTTTTCTTTCCAAAAAAAAAAAAATCTGAGCGTTGCTTTTTTTCGAACGTCTGTGACTCGTTCCCTGGGCCCGGAAAAAAACAGTAGTTCTTTTACCAGCTGATAGATTGTTCTCTCGCACTTGGTAATAAAATTGTCGCACTTTGCAACACCTGTCGGCACTTTGTAATAAGAAAGCTATCGCACTTTGCTATTATTATTATCATCGATATTACTATCATCATTAATATCGTTGTTGTTGTTATTATCTTCAGTACAAAAAAAATTATTATTACTGATCCAACTAGTATCTGGAAAGTACGAATTCGAATCCCATCGAAGACTAATTTTTTATTTTCGTTTTTTAGGCTTCTTTTTCGCAATTGCTTTACTTGAAGAGCCATAATTGGAACAATTATGGCTCTTGCTTTTAAAAATTGAAGCTCACACGAGAGGATCATGGTTTTATTTGCTTTCAATTCGCAAATAAAAAAAATCTACTCTATTACAAATTGCTAAGTACAATAATGGTCTGTAATTACATAGAGCGGCAGCTTTCTTATTACATGCATTACTGGAAAGTGCGACAGATGTTTCAAAGAGGACAAGTATTCAAAGTCCAACGATTATTGCGGAGTGTGACGGAATATACAGCCTGAGTTCAAATCGACCGTGCCCAAATTAGTAATATGTTGGCGAGAAGTGAAAAAAATTTCCCGATAGAACCTCGTCCGGCGTGTCTTGTATCGCTTCGTTTTCTCCGCTTAAAAAAATTTAACACAATTGCTTCCCCTTTCTGTGAAGTGCATTGTCAGGTGAAATCTTCGAAAAAAACCATAATACGTTGGCCACCTGTCCTAGAAGCTCGCCAAAACCACAAAACATCTTTATATTTCCATACTCCTCTACCTTATTTCAGTTAGCCTGAATAAAAATATCATGGGGAAAGAAAAAAAACCTTTGCTCTGGGCCGAGATTAAAAGCTGCATTTTTACAGTCTTGGCTGCAGCAAAAAAAAGTTTGGCAACTTAACTGAAAAATAATTTTCAATGTAAAAAAAAAAAACTTTTAAAAAAAAAACTTATGTGCTTTGTTCAATTCTCAGAAAAGACTAATTGATCTCAACACACAAAAAAAAATGAACGCCTCCATTTTTAAATTATCAGAAGTGAACATTTTATTTCTTCATACGACATCCATGTAATATCTGGCAAACAGGTTTTGAGAATACTCAAACTTCGCAAGTAGAAGCTGTTATCGGGATCTAAACCCAAACTCTCATAACTGATTTAGAAGGGAAAGTGTGGCAATTAGAGGGGAGAATTAATAATCAGATCGTGGGTACGGGGTCATCTAGACTTGCTCACAATTCGCGCAAAAAAACGCGTAGCGCGACGGCGAGCGCGACGGCGAGCGAGCCGACAGAAAACCAAGCGAACGACTTTGAGGAAGTCTAGGGGTCATCTAAAAGGTGTCCGTTGAAAATAAACCAAGTTGCAATTTTCGTGTCTTCAAGTTCTTCGTTCGCAAACCGTTTTTATTCTATTCATTCTTAGCTTTCGTTTTTCTGAGTATCACCTTTTTCGACTTTTATTTCCTCCAGACCTAGTGTTTCATAGCAAAAAAAACGGCGTAAACTATCTTGACCTTAAGTTTACTGCACCGTGATTAATTCAGTTTCTTCTATTTTTAACTGTTTGTTTGCGTAGTGAGTGCTTGACGTGTAGCCAAGATGACAGTTTATGTCTGCCGGCCAGGATTCCCCGGTGATTGGGTGTCACAAAAGCTGTTGTTATATATTGTATATAGATTCAAATTAGTACAATTCATGCTGTGAATTGTACTACTTCACGAGCATTTTGAACTCGAGTCACGCACTGTACAGAGTAATTGCTGAGAAGAAACATGTTTTCAGATCTTGTAACGCCGTTGTCAGCAATCTGTGTATTTTTACCACTGGTCACTCCAATAAAAGTATCTACAAAGTATGGAGACATAGAAGGTGTCGTCGCGTCGACGTCATATCCAAGTGTCTCGGGGCTCCCTTAAAAAAATGTCAGGAAATTTCTTGGCGTTCCTTTCGCTGCTCCACCGGTTGGTGAGCTCAGAAAAAAACCACCTGTACATCCAGTCGTTTGGAGACCGAATGTTCTCTCGGCGAAAAAGCATGGGAACATTTGCATGCAGAGCAGAGAGTATGATACTTGGTACAAAACATTCTCTGCAAACTAAAAAAACAGCGAGGATTGCTTGTATCTCGACGTATACACCCCAAATGTTAGGACGAGTTTAAAAAAAATGGTTTACATTCACGGTGGAAGCTTCACCAACGGTGCAACCATCACATACCCGAGCGACATCTTGGCTCTTCACGGGGTGGTTGTTGTTGTGATTCAGTATCGTCTCGGTCCGTAAAAAAACTTGACGACTGGCGATTCTTCGGCTCCAGGGAATTTTGCAATGCTGGATCAAGTGGAAGCACTTAAGTGGGTTCGGGATAATATTGCTAGTTTTGGCGGAGATTCCAACAAGGTGACGATATTTGGAGAAAGCGCCGGCGCGGCGAGTGTCAGCCTTCACTTACTGTCGCCTCTATCGGAGGGTCTCTTTCATCAAGCCATTGTAGAGAGTGGGGTGGATTTGAGTTCCTTTGCGACTCAGCCTGTTTCGTTTGGCCTTCACTACGCGGAAGAACTTGCTAAAAAGCTAAAGTGCCCCACAACTAGTCACAACAAAATGGTCTCTTGCATCCGCTCGAAGAGTGCTATGGAGATGCAAGAAAAAAATGAAATGTTGACATTCAAGCTCAAAAATTATCTTATGTGGGCGCCAGTTGTAGACAACCATTTTCTCCTTTCCGAACCGCGAGACCTGCGTGAAAAAGGAGAGTTCACGAAAGTCAAATTTATGATCGGCTTCATGAGCCATGAAGGTGCATCCTATCTTGAACCGATCGCCAAATGGACTTTTGGATTAAACGAAAATGTAGAAGACGGAGTAAGCCCAGCCTTTTTCAAGAAATTAAAAAAAGCATTTGCTCGTGTTGGGATTACTGAGTGAGTCACTTTTTATTATCAACCTTTTAAAAAAATTTCCATCAGAGTCAAGTGAATCATTCACTTGACTCTGATGATGACTTCCGCACAAAAAAACGAAACGTCAGTCACTACCATCGACAACAGTCCTTCTCAGGACTACACTCATCCAAAAAAACAGACTACACCTTCACTCACTTTTTATTATCAACCTTTTTTCGAAATTTCTGCTAAAAAAAGGTCTTACTTGGTCCAACTCGAGCGAAGGGCCTAATGCATACCGTTCTTAGCGCAACTACATGTCAAATTTGACATGTTTCGTATCTCGGTCAGAAGTTAATTTTCTGTCCAGTAAAAAAAAGGCCTGTGTATTATAAGAAGTCACATGTGCCGTATAATATAAGAGACACACCGCACAAAAAGTCACACTGCTTTTCAGAGTTGTAAGCAATGTGTCATTACTGCGTATCCCCAGCAAAAAAATAGTATGTTTCATATGTAATTTTGCGTGTTATGTCACACAAACACAATGCATGCTATTCAGACTGCGCGTAACGCTTGTCACGTTACATGTCATATTCATCCTCTATATGAATATTTCACGTATCATTTTCCGATTAATGTAGCGCGTTCAACGCTGCATGTCATTCTGTACGGCACAACTGACGAGAGTGTCACGGTATATGACAAACTGTATCATCACTCCGGATGTCACGCTACAGATCGGCCGTTTCATAGCACTGCGTGTCACATTATCTCTGCTTATGTCACGCTTGAGGAGGGATGTGGTATGCTGTATCTCTAAAATATTTGATCACTTTATTACTTTCAGGAAGAAGAATGCTGACCTCATCGCAGGCGCGCTAGAGTTCATGTACACCCCATGGCCTGATAATAGTGAAAAATTCGCACTAAGAAGTCAACTTGTAGACTCCATCGGTGACTCTGTGTTCGTCGCACCAAGAAAAAAAGTCGCGGATATTCACAGCCAGTATGCCGAGGTCTACATGTACGAGTTTGCCCATCGCTCAAAGAACAGTAGCTACTATGCTGAATGGATGGGCGTGGCACATGGGGAGAACCTTCAAAAAAACTTCGGTATCCCAGTGCTGCCAAATTTTCCTGAATATGACGCAGCCGATAGAAACGTCAGTTTGTTTGTCATGGCAGTGTATGCAAACTTTGCCAACTTCGGCAATCCAACGCCTCAACCAGTCAGCGGTGTTATGTGGGAAAAGTATAACTCAAGCCACAGGGCTTATCTCCACAAAAAAAACAAATCCAAGATGGCAGCTTCTTTCGCTCCTCGTCGAATGTCATTTTGGAATAAAAAAAAACCCAAACTGAAAGAGGTAAATTTTGATTTGAAGAGTTCCATAGTCAGTGCAGTAAGCTCTAATGCTGCTTTGGCGACATATCTCCTGCTTGGAGTTATTATCAGTGTGACAATATTCTGAAATAACACGCGTGATGTTATCATACCACATGAGATAACTCACTCGTCCTTGAAACTAAAAAAACATAGGTTTGATACTTAGGTTGATAAAAAGGAAGAAATCACTTTGCAATTTACTCTCCTACACTTTTTGATTAGATTCGAAAGTGAAACTGTCTTAAATATAGTAGAAAAAGGATAAAATTTAACAGATTGAAAATAATTACAATTTAGTCTGTTTTAACCACATGCAAACCTCTTAAAAAAAAATCGTCATCATCAGTATCATTTATTGGCCACACCAGAATTGATATTAATACAAATTCAATGGTATGGTAGAATTAGGAGGCCTTCTAGAAACCACCAGGCTTCTTGGGGGGCTGTGGGGGCACCTCAGTTGTCATGTTTGTAATTAAGTTGTGGACGTGTGGCTTGGCTTAAGAAAAAAAAAGTGGCAACGTAACACCTCCATAAGGAAAAAAAGAACACCTCCTTTCTGATCCTGAAAAAAACGTGAATAAAATAAAGGCCGTTTACCTGCCTTTACCCGATTGTAATTGTATCCTAAAAAAATTTTTTTAACTCTGAGGTTCTAGCTTCTTGAGACCATTGTTAAATAGCATATTAAAAAAAAGGGAGAAAGTTTCTTTTTTTATTGTTTCGAATGTTTTTCTAGAGATAATTAGCCAACATAATGAGAAAATACAACTCTCAGCTGTAGTCTCAATAATGAGATTTTGTTTTAAAAAAAAAAAATGATTAGTGACCAAAAATTACCAAAAAATACAAAAATAACAATTCCCTCACTGTAAAAAAAGGGAAGTAAGGCCGACGAACTGATCCACCAGAAATCGTATAATTTGATTGTTATAAAAAAACGATATTGCAATTATTGGATCTGGCAAAAAGACAATACAAAAACCGTTTCTATCAAAAAAAAACTAAATTCTCCTACAATAATTCGATTCCAAAATAACTCAAAACATAATTTGAAAAAAAAGTTTTACTTACTTCTGTGGTGGGCCGTTGGCTACAGGTTAGCTTAAAGACTTGAAAAAAAATAGCAACTTATACAAGACCTTTCCTTTTGAAATTTATTTACCGACTGAAATGTGAAAAAAAGTACAAAGCTTAAATGTCAATCAATGTTCTAAATTACGTGATTCTCATTCACTTTTAACGAAACACTCACTTGTGTCGAACTAATCTCCTTCACAGCCGTCAATTGATCTCGTCAAAAAAAACACTCTAGGGAAGAGAGTGCGTTGTGTGACTAGACCAAGACTGGTTTCCAGCATAAAAAAATTTTTTTTCCCTTGAAATATTTAAATTCTGCACATTTATCGTTTCAAAAATATCGGTGGGGTAGGTTCAGAGCCACCTTGAATTGCCGCAAAGCTTAAGTGGCTCTCAACCTACTACGCAGATTTTTGAGAAACTTTATAAAAAGATGAATCTTTGGTATAATACAATTAAGGGTGCTGTAGCATTGCTATGGTGACTCTTGCATCAGGGACAATACCGTAACTTGTGCAGTAGTAATAATAACTCAGGCCAAGCTTTTCTCTCTCGGATTTATGGCCCAAGCGCAACGCATGGAGCCAAAAAAACGATAAGAGATATCTTGTATCGAGAAAACTGGGGAAGTGAGATATCTACTATATCTCTGAGTTCAAATTAGAGGGGAAAGACCTCAATTCCAAAAAACCTTTTGGACAATGAAATAAAAAAAACTAAATTGACCAGTCATAGCGCAAAGTAAAAAATGCCAAAGGAGAGAGTTGTCAGAAAAAGTGTTGTGCTGCACACATTTTCACCAGTACCGCTGGCCACATATTCCTTGGTATCAAACTTGACTTGCTCAAGCTTTGGATAGTAATCATTCCAGAACGCCATTCGACGCGGGGCAAAAGACGCCGCCATCTTAGGTTTCGTGTCAACTCGAAGATAAGCCCTTAAGCTTGAATTGAAAAAAACCCACACAACACCGCTGACTGGTTGTCGCGTTGGATTTCCGAACTTAGCAAAGTTTGTGTACAGTGCCATAATGAACATACTGACGTTTTTGTCATCTGCGTCGTAACGGGAAGAAAATCGTGGGATTAGAGGAATGCCAAAGTCGTAATGTCTATTCGCACCATGGACCACGCCCATCCAATCAGGAATGTTAGTAACCATCTTTGAACGATGCGCAAACTCGAGTATGTATACCGAAAAAAACGAACTGTGGATATCGGCGACCTGGTGACTAGGTGCATAGTATAGGAAATCGCCAACGAGGTCTATAAGTTGACTCCTCAGCGCGTATTTATCAATTTTATCGGGCCATGGGGTATACATGAACTCCAAGGCATCCGCAATGAGGTTTGCGTTTTTTTCCCTGCAAGAAAGTCAAGAAAGCAGAGCAGATAACTTTTGCTTGCGTTATCTCGAATAACACTAGGAGCGACGTACTAAGTAATAAGCATAACTAGAAATGTAGTTTGTTTTCGTATTCGTCGATTGAAGAAGTGCCATTTTCCCAAGAGTATAAATTATGTGGGGACTGGATGCGAGTCTATCACCAGTTCCGTTTCATTCGAAATGAAGATGAGAGATCTGGAAACAGAGCCCCTCAAGGGGAAGGGAGCTGAGCAGGAGACCATACGATGAATAGTTTTATGGTTGGTTTTAGTCATTGGGGCACTTTCGGACCCCATTGGAGGAGAGGTGCTTAGCCGAAAACGCGAGTGACACGCTCGGAAGGGCAGAACCGCGAGGGTGACTTCTCGCGATTTCTCGCTTACGCGTGCCGGTCGTAATAACAACTGACCAGTTTTGCCGGATGACTCATATCAACCTTGGTTTACCCTATTATTACATCCATTTTGAAATCACCGGTGGTAAAAAAAATCTGATTGGTTCTCATTGATGCGATTTATTCACGAATCGCATCATTTTTTGCTAAAAAAAGCATCATTTTACACTTGACTGAGTTTTTGACAAATGAGGTCAAAGTCTTTCTCTAAAAAAAACAAAATAAGATGTAAAAGCATTTCCGGTTCCACTTTATACTTAAAAACCGGCTAAAAAAAGCATCAATAAAATATTTGAATTGACCAAGTCCTATATTTGGGCGATTTCAAAATAAAAAAAATAAAGTGGTAATTGAACCTCGAGTCGTGCAACTTTGGTCTGAAATCACTCTTGAAAAAAAAAATCGAACTCGCGCTGTACGTTCGTTCGATTTTGAAATCACGCGTATGATTTCAAAAAAAATTGCACTCCACTCAGTTCATTTACCATTATGAATCAAATCTGTCTGACAAGCTAAAAAAACGCAGACTCTTTATAACAAAATTTACTTTTACTTACCTGTTGGTCTGACCATGCAAAAAAAGTGTTACGTATCCTTTAAAGAAAGACGGACTCGAACCGTTGATCAAATTTTTAAAAAAAAATCCACCCTCCTGGCTGTTAAAGGTAATCATAAACTTGGCTTTCTTAAACTCTCTAAAAAAACGCAGATTCCGGGGGGTGTCAGGAAGAAAGTTTTTGTCCATCACTGGTGCCCAGCGTAGGTATCCAGTGAAAATATACGTTATTGAGTCGGATGCGTCTTGTATCTCCTTCGCTTCTTTCTGACGAATGCAGGCCATCATTTCGCTGTGGTCGCCTGTTGGGCAGTCCAGGTTTTTAGCTAGTTCACTGGCAAAGCGGAGACCAAAGGAAGTCGGCTGAATTGCAAAGGAGCTCAAAAAAAAAACGCTCTCTGCAATGGCTTGATGGAAGAGGCCTTTAGACAATGGGGAAAACAGATAAAAAAAGACACCTGTTCCACCAGCGCTTAATCCAAAGATGGTCACCTTGCCGGGATCCCCACCAAAATTTTCAATGTTCTCTTTGACCCACAGGAGTGCCGCGACTTGATCCAGCATTCCAAAATTACCAGGGGATGCAGAATCCCCGGTCGTCAGAAAACCGAATGGACCAAGGCGATACTAAAAAAAGACTACTACCACTCCGTGTAAAGCCAAAATATCCCCGGGAAATGTGACTGTAGCTCCAAACTCATACGATCCGCCGTGAATGTAAAACATCACGGGTAATCTTGATTTGACATCAAAAAAAAAGATGTCAAGATACAAGCAGTCCTCGCTGTACGTGATATTTTGGACAAACTTTTTGAACCGTTGTTCATAGGCTTTGCTTTGCCAGCAAACATTTCCGTGTCGTTTAGCCGAACGAAAAAAAGGTTCCCATCTAAGAGGCAGTTCTGGTGGCTTGAACCTAAGCTGTGAAGTCGGTAAAAAAACGAATGGAACGCCAAGGAACTTGTTGACATGCTTGAACGCAAAAGAAAAGTTGGAAAAAAAAGTCACAAAACCTTCGATATCTCCATATTTTGTTGACACTGTTACTGAAGCGGTGGAAGGCAACCAGACACAGAAGACCATCAATCGAATTAGCATTCTGGCCCTCATAGTTTTCAAAAAAATGTCGAGAATTGCACTACTAATCCGATCACTGTTGGGTGACGAGTGTTCTTCTCAAATATCAAAATGTCACGTCATTGTAAAACCCCAGGCTAATTTGTTATGCATGATAATTCCAAAAAAAAAATTTGCGCTTTACACCCCTATGACTCTGCTTACATATTAACCAGACAAATATTTGTAATCGAAAATGCAGAAGGATGCTCATTCGGTCTGATTTATCTTTACAAAAGCTCCACTTTCTTCCCATCTAAGGGATTACAAACGTCACCAATTTAGAGGGAACAGTGGTGAAGAAGAAATCGATAACTTCAGTGGTCCAGAATAGGTAAACAGCAGTCGCAGCCATAATAGATCATCATCAACTGTCCAAAGGGGTATTAGGCTCCTTCTGTTCATTATTGTTTTTATAGGAGGGAAGAAGCTATCTCAAAAAGGAACATATTGTTTCATTTTCGGTATGATACCTGTAGGGGTGTTTTGAGTTCAACCTTCCACTGTCCTCGTTACATGTTAATAGAAATTAACGGATGGCAGCCTGTTAAAAAAAAGTTTATCTCGACGAACTACCATTATTGGGTTCCCATGTTCTCTATGGAGTACGCAAAAAAACAGTTATGCAGTCTCGTTCGCAGCCGCACATACGGAAATGTCACGCAACGCTTCCGAAACTTCTTGTGCGTTAGAATTGCGTGAGGGGTAGGGGGGGGGGTCTGCTTTCAAAAAAAAAAAAACTTAGCTATAGAAGGGCAATCGCAACGCAAATAACATCCTTCCATAACTGAGAAAGCTTCAGTTCCTTACAACACACTGAAATGCATCGTGGATATCCGAATGACGTCTTAACGAAAAAAAATTATTTTTCTGGAGGAGGGTTTGAGAAATTTTCTTCTGCGAACATTTTTTTTTTAAAAAAAACGTCTCTTCGTACAAACAATTTTTTTCCATTTTTTTTCGGTGTTCTTTTTATTAAAAAAAAATATTACCATTGCCATAGTGAACTATTTTACGAAGAACATAATCAATATGTCGAAAAAAAACGTTGAGATTTAATTTGCAAGACAAATTCCCATTTTTTCAAGAAATATACAGCAAAAAAAAAATTTGTTATTTGCTTATACAGAGCCGCCACTTTTAAGTGCCCAAATTGTGTTAATTTTTATACTAATGCTTCAGTTTGTTACTTTATTTTTTTATTTCGGTTTTGGTTTTTTTAAAAAAATGACTTCTCCGCAAAACATTTTTTTTACCCCATCACGTTTGCAAACAATTTACTTTGTCTTTTCAGACTCTGAAAACAATTTTTTTTTCAATATTTCTCGTACCCCCACCCCCTCCAGAAAAATAATGTTCCGTCCCTTATTTCACACAGACTGAGATACTATCTTTTGTGTCTCTAAAAAAACGAACGATATCTTTCAAAACGCCATAAATATCACACCAGAAGGTTCATTCAGAAAAAAAAACCATCTCTACAATAACTACTCAATAAGAAATTGTTACTAGAACTGAAACAAACAAACTTTATTCGGTAATATCAATTGCAGGTTCATCAAGCAAGATTTGTTTAAGCCGAGAAAAAAAAAAATTATATGCGACAAAATACAATTTGGTAGCTACGTCTTGCAATGTTGACGATTTAAAATATCAGTTTGGGCAGTCTTTAATTAAAATTTTCATTACTAGCTTCTTTAAACTTGCGTAAAAAAACACTATTTTTAAGAAGGAACTTGAACTTTTGTGAAGATCTGCAATGGTGGTTCAAACTTAAGTCTCCCTCGATAGAGCGCCATAAAAGAAACAGCGAACGCAATGAGAAAAAACTAAAAAAAGGCACAGGCACTGCAAGCATTACTATCCACCACTGTCTTTTTTTCAAACTTGACAAAAAAAGGCCTGGGGTGATAATCATTGCAGAACGACATTCGGAGAGGTGCAAAAGAGGCCAAAAAAACGGATTTTTTATTCACCCGGAGATAAGGCCTGTGACTGGAGTTGTACTTCTCGAACGTAACGCCGTTGACTGACTGAGGCGTTGGATTGCCGAGCTTGGCAAAGTTTGTGAACATTTCCATGATGAACAAACTGACGTCTTTGTCCGACTGATCCGGAGACAAACTCACTAAACGAAAAAAAAACGGGACTCCAAAATCGTAGCCGACATTATCGTCATGCTGTACCCCGTGCCACGCCTTGTGAAGAGGGCGCACTCTGCTGATAATCGAACATACACATATAGACATCGGCATACTTGCTGTGAATATCGGCGACCGCGTGACCTGGTGCATAGTAGAGATAATCACCAAAGAGGTAAAAAAAATGGGTTCTCAGCGCGTATTTATCGTTGCTGTTAGGCTATGGGGTATACATAAACTGCAAAGCATCCCTTATGAGGTCACTCTTCTGTTTTCTCAAGGAAAGAAAGAGGATAATTCTTTTCGGTGTTAGAAAAGACTTTTCCTCACTTAAGCTGCATTTGCCACGGCTAGTTTACGTAAAAAAATGCCTCTGTCAAGGAAAGATTCGGCTCTCTAAATTAAATACATTTTAATAAGAAAAAAAAAAACAATCCACTGTGGAATTTGTACAACAAGTCCATAAGTTCTCGTGAAGGGAAAAAAAAAAAGTGTTCCAGATAACATAACTTACCCCATATTTTGAGAGTCCACAAAATTTGTTAGAAATTCCTTGAAGAAAGAGGGACTCGCTCTGTAGTCCACACTTTGCGCCATTCCATAGGAAAAAAATGCCATCAATCCCAACGTAGTCCAAACTCCTCACTTTTAAAAACGATCATTAACAAAAAAATCTTGAACTTTCCTTTCTTTCGTAGATTGTCGGGGGTGTCAAGGAGGAGTTTTTAAAAAAAACTGGTGCCCAGCCGAGATATCCAGTGTAAACATATGTTATTACTCGGAAGCGTAAAAAAACTCCTTCGTTTCTTTCTGACGAAGGCAGGCCATCATTTCGCTGTGATCGCTCGTTGGGCAGCCCAGGTTTCCAGCAAGTTCATTGGCAAAGCGGAGACCGGCTGAAGTCGGCTGAAAAAAAAAACGACTCAGATCCACTCCGCTCTCTGCAATGACCTGATGGAAGAGGCCTTGAGAAAATGGAGACAATAGATATGGAGCCTCACACTCGTTCCTCCAGCACTTAATCCAAAAATGGTTACCTTGCCGGTATCCCCTCCAAAATTAATTTTTTATGCTTCCTCTGACCCACTGGAGTGCCGCCACTTGATTCAACATTCCATAATTCCCAGGGGCAGCGGAATTCCCGGTCGTCAAAAAGCCAAACACGCCAAGACGGTACTGAATAACAACAACTACCACACCTTGAAGAGCCAAGTAATCGCCACGATGTGCGCCGGATTACAGTTCCATATTCATAAGCTCCCGGACCATGAATGTAAATCATTACGGGTAGATGCTGGCTTACATTCGGGGTGTAGACGTCAAGATATAGGCAATCTTCGCTGCATGTAAAATTTTGAGTAAACATACGCACCGCAGATTCGAAGGTCTTCTTTTGCATGCAAATATTTCCGTGCTTTTTGCTTCACGAACCTTTCGTTTCCACGAAGCTGGCTCTTTTGGTGGTTTCATTCTAAGGTCGCCAACTGGTGAAGCGGCGAATGGAATTCCAAGGAATTTTCTGACTGACTTGTAAGTGAAAGAAGAATTGGGGTACGATTTCTCAATACCTTCGACTTCTCCATAGACTGTGGACACCCTTATCGGTGTGACTAATGGCATCAAAACGGAGAAAAGTGTGAAACGTCAGTAGTAACTGCTCGGTCGAAATCATTGTGCCTTAGTTTGAGTTGAGCACTTTTCCTTCGGCTTCGAATTCAATCAAATCCTGTTCACACAATAGAAGCTATCCTACATAGGGCTACAAACTCAGTGTGTGCTTGTTGCCTCAGGGGTGCAAAATAGATGCTAATTGAAATATCTATGACGTCAGTTCAAGTACCTTTCTGTTTGAGTAGCTCTCTGGAAAAAGCTAATCCGGAGGAAATTTAAGGTGCTGAGAAAATTAAGCTAAGAAACCGGCTTTATTTCACAAGCACTGCAAAACACTATCGATTTCAGGAGTGAATGCGTTTTAAAAGGCTTTTCCTTTTACGTTACATTTGCTTGGAAAAAAAGCATCTCTCTTGCGTGTTTACGTGACACATCTGTATGATTATAATAATAGTATCTATCGATCATTAGGAGGCCTAATATGTCATTAGGAGCCAATTAAATACAAATTTCGCTTAAAAAAAAAAGCTAGAATATGTCTTTTATTTATTCCTTTCCTTGCTTTTCTTTGGGTATATCGTGCGAAAGGTTTAACACGGCCCTCAGGTCAAAAACTTTGACAGTCGCTTTTCACTCAAGGATATTGCGTAAGGCGACATTTTCAAATCAGGTTATGACGGACTGATGACAGGTACGGCCTTGTCACGCAAACACACACAACGCAGAAAGCCATCCACGTGCAGTAAGGAGTCAGTATCAGGAAAAGCCTTTACAAAAAAGTCCATCATTTCAGATCTGTAGAATTTTGCAGTGTTTATAAAACAAAGTTTCTAAGCGAAAGATACCTTTTATGAGCCTTCCAAGAGATCTAAACAATCAGAAAAAAAAAAAAAATGACGTCATAGATATTTTAAGCTATTTCAAGCTGCAAAAGCCTATTTTAAACAAAAAAAACATTGCTACGCTTTCAGGTGACTCTGAGAAATAGTGAGTCGGCAGGTCAAGCGACTTTCCATCGTGTGAAGAAAATTCAAGTGAGGTCAAAGGAAAAGTTTTGACTCAGACTGAGGCATGATGATTTCGACAAAACTATTTCTGTGTTTATCACTTTTCTTCCTCTTTCTGCCACTAGTTACGCCAATAAGAGTGTCCACAAGCTATGGAGAGATCGAAGGTTTCGAGGAATCGTACCCCAATTCTTCTTTCACTTACAAGTCAGTCAGCAAATTCCTTGGCATTCCATTCGCCGCTCCACCAGTTGGCGACCTTAGAATGAAACCACCAGTAGAGCCAGCTTCGTGGAAAGAGGTTCAAAAAAACAAACAGCAAGGCAATATTTGCATGCAAAAGAAGATCTTTGAATCTTTTGTGCGGATGTTTACTCAAAATTTTACGTACAGCGAAGATTGCTTATATCTCGATGTCTACACCCCAAACGTGAGCCAGCACCTACCCGTAATGGTTTACATTCATGGAGGAGCTTATGAGTTTGGTACTTCAGTCACGTATCCTAGCGATTACTTGGCTCTTCAAGGTGTGGTAGTTGTTGTTATCCAAAAAAAACTTGGCGCGTTTGGCTTCTTGACGACCGGGGATACCGCTGCCCCTGGGAATTATGGAATGTTGGATCAAGTGGCAGCACTCCAGTGGGTCAAAGGAAACATAAAACATTTTGGAGGGGATCCCGGCAAGGTGACCATTTTTGGATTGAGCGCTGGTGGATCAAGTGTGAGCCTCCATCTATTGTCTCCACTTTCCCAAGGCCTCTTCCATCGAGCCATTGCAGAGAGCGGAGTGGATTTGAGTCCTTTTGCAGTTCAGCCGACTTCCTTAGGTCTCCGCTATGCTAGTGAGCTTGCTAAGAAACTGGGCTGTCCATCAGGCGACCACAGCGAAATGATGGCGTGCATTCGTCAGAAACAAGCAAAGGAGATACAAAGCGCTTCTGAGTCAATACCGTATGCTTACTCCGAAAACCTGGCCTGGGCACCAGTTGTGGATAAAAACTTTCTTCTTGACACCCCCCGGAATCTGCGAAACAAAGGAGAATTTAAGAAAGCCAACTTGATGATCGTTTTTGCCAGTCAGGAGGGGGGCTCCTCTGTGGGATTCTTAGCAAACATGTCCTTTGGAATGGCGCAAAGTGTAGACAACGGAGTGAGTCCCTCTTTCTTCAAGGAATTTCTAACAAAGTATGCGCGCTATCGAGATATCGGGTAAGTTAAGTAAAAAAATAATATTTTTCTCGAAGTTTTGAACGAAGACACGTGTAAAGGTAAAACCGTTAATAAAAATATTCATAGCGTAGATGACGTTACAATTAAAAAAGTCCACGCGGAAGAGAGAACAAAAAAAAACATGGAAAAAAGTGAAAAATCTTTCTGCTTCTGCTTTTACATCTCATGAGTTTTTGACATTGTAAACTTAAAACCTCGAGAGAGGAGATTTTCCAAATGCAGATGATGTTACAATGACGCGTACCAATGAATCTTTAGAGGGTTTTTACAGCTTGGTAATTCTACTCTATCAGGAATTCCTATTTAATCGTCTTTGACGTCCTCAATTAACAAATGGTCTGTGATGTGTGCAGTTGCAGGACCGGTCTTGTTGAGGAGAAGTATCGTTTGATTAGTTTTCATTTAAATGAAATCTTTTCTTGACAAATGCACAGGAAAATTGGCAGGGGTAAATGCGACTTAAGCTACGAACTGAAGCTTTAGCTAACAATGAAAATAATTATCGTTTTTCTTTCCTTTAAGAAAGCAGAAGTCTGACCTTATAAGGGATGCTTTGCAGTTTATGTATACTCCATGGCCCGACAGCAGCGATAAATATGCGCTGAGAACCCAGCTCGCTGATCTCATCGGTGATTACTATTTCGTCGCCCCAAGTCACGCAGTCGCCGATATTCACAGTATGTATGCCGATGTTTACATGTGCATGTTCGATTATCAGCAAAAGGTACGCCCCCTTCACAAGGCGTGGTACGGGGTACAACATGGCGACAATACCCTCTTTGATTTTGGAGTCCCGTTTATGCCTCGTTTTGCGTATTTGTTTCCGGACCAGTCGGACAAAGACGTCAGTTTGTTCATCATGGAAATGTACACAAACTTTGCCAAGCTCGGCAATCCAACGCCTCAGCCAGTCAGCGGTGTTACGTTCGAGAAATACAACTCCAGTCAGAGTCCTTATCTCCGGGTAAAAAAAAAATCCGAGATGACGGCCTCGTTTGCTCCTCGCCGAATGTCGTTTTGGAATGATAAAAAAACCAAGTTGATGGAAGTCAAGTTTGAAAAAAAGACAGTGGTGGATAGCAATGCTGGCTGTGCCACTTCCATGGCAAAGTTTGTTCTCATTGCGTTTCCTGTCTTTTCCATGGCGTTCTCTTGGGGGAGACTTTATTTGTAAGGCCATTGAGATCCAATCTTTACAAAAGTTTCTTTTCTTAAGATAGCGAGCTAAATGTAAAATTAATCAGATGAGAGGATAATCTTCAGTTCAAAGTAAAAAAAAGAAAATTTGATGAAGGGAGTATCGAAATTTCAGTTCCTTTCTTAAGATGGCAAAAAAAAAGTAAAATTAATCAGATGAGAGGATAATCTTTAGTTCCAAGTATGCAAAATAAAATTTGATGAAAGTAGTATCGAAAATTTCAAATAGATTTAATCCTAACTGATGCTATAAATTGTTCATATTTCGAGCCGCAACCATGAATATTTTTGTTATTTCGTCTAGAATAAAACAGCCCTTTGTTGGCTGATAAAAAATAATCAGACTGGTTGATACTGCTATTGATATACCAAATAAAGTAAAAAAATTTATTTTCTTTTATTTTATGGCTGTGTCTCACAAGGACTGGGAACTATCGAATAAAAAAATTTGATCACAGGCGGCCCAAGCTCTCTTTGAGAACCACGCAAGGAACACAATTTAAAAAAAGATTTATAAGGATTTGTATGGGATTTTCTACAAGATATCCATAGAGATAGTTAAAAAAAAAAATATTAAATAATAATGGCTTACCTTATTCCATACGTGTGTTGCTTGCTCCTGGAAAAAAAATTTCACCGATTTTACTTGATTTAAGCGGTTTTTTTTAATCCTGGTTTTCTTTAAAAAAAAAAAACCAGGATTAAAAGTCAAGTGAAATCGGTGAAATAACGACACCAGGAGCAAAAAAAAAACGTATGGAATAAGGTAAGCCATTTTTATTTAATATTTTCACTTTTAACTATCTCTATGGATATCTTGTAGAAAATCCCATACAAATCCTTATAAATCGATATGCAAATTGTGTTAAAAAAATGGTTCTCAAAGAGAGCTTGGGCCGCCTGTGATTTGATTGGCTGAAATCAATATAAAAAAAGGTCTAGATTTTCCCATCTAGACCGGCATCTAGACCGGTCTAGAAAAAAAAAGGAAAAAAAAATATAAAAAATTGGCATATAAGACACAGCCATATAATAAACATCTTATTAACTGACCTAGGTCGGTCTCTAAGGGAGAAACTTGACCTCGGTCGCTGGTACAGACCTCACTGCGAAAAAAATGTACTGGCGACCTCGGTCAAGATTCTCCCATACAGACCTCCCGCTCCGTTAATAAGAACTAAGTAGCAATTTCTTATTGAGTGGCTATTTAAAGAAAGGTCTGTTATTCCCTCATTGAGAAACGCGCTGTTTTACCTCAAGGAGTTACTATGGGTGAATTTTGCTTTTGGATGAACCCTTTTGATGTGATGCTTATAGCATTTTGAAAGACCATACTACGAATTCCATCGTCTGAAAGTTTCTGTACAACACACGATTTTGTCTTCGAATAACACCTAGTGAACAGAATTTTCTTTCTTCGAGACCCTGAGAATGTGCAACCCCATTCCATTAACTCTATCGAAAATGCAGCCCATTATCGTTAATGCAGTCATGAAAATTCGACCTCATCCAACAGGACATCCCCATTGGCCTTTTTGTAGGAAGTAACCACACCCCCCTCCTCAGGGAATATATTACTGTCTCTCCCAATAGGCAAGTACCAGAGCTACAAACCCATAATTAGCCCAGGATACTCACACGATTCAAAGGCACAATCACTAAGCGAGGTAAGTTTGTTTTATTCAAAACTAGTTCAGATTCATTCTAGTCGAGAGCGCCTTTAGAGAAACCCTTATCTTTCGGCACAACGTGAATATCGAATATAGTTCTATATTTTGCGAGCTTGGACAACCTTTGTTTTACTCATTTATTCCTGCAGCGATTACAATATTTACGGGCGCAAATCCCACTCGAGTTGCTCGGAGGTGAATAGTAACAAAAAATATTTGAAGTTTGAGTTGCCAATCAGAGCGCGCCTCTCTATCGTTCAGGAATAGCAAATGACGTCAGTTTTCCTATGTCACGAAAAAAATAAGGAGCCCACGATGCTTGTGGTCTCTTTGGATGTAAACCGATCACGGATTCTTAACAGGCGACGAAAGAAGTCTGTGGATATTTTCCAAATGCACAGCCCTAAATACTCGAAAGCACAGAGCTGTGCGTATTTCTGCTCCAAAAATGTCCTGGTGGCACTTAACACCCTTTACATTGTAAGTATCCAGGAAAACCTTTCAACTTTAACGCAGAGTTTTATCGAATATCGCCAGCTATTGTATGGGAAAATCGAATTTTCGCCGTCTGTTGTTACGTGGCATTTAGTGGTTATTTGAAGCTTTTTATTGGATCCTCTTCGACGGAAATCTCCTGCGGTTCTTATCTGTTAATGCTTCGAAAAAAAATTAGGGATTTAAAGTGTAAATGTTAGCTCTTCTGCGAAAAAGAAAATCTTCAGAAAAAAAAAACCCCGTCGTTCCTTTGCTGCAAAAGGCTAGCTGTTTACCTAGCGCATCGTGAAAAAAATTAATAGTTTTTTTCTGGGCGAGAAAACAGCGTAAACTCTTGAGTTTCGCTGCCACCTCATGTCTAAGGAGATGTACGCTTAAATTTGATCAATGAGTGAATTTTTTTGTATACAAAAAAAATTCCTGGATCTTGACATAGTGTCTTTCAATAATATTCCACGTTTCTTGAATAACAAAAAAAAAAGCAACCCTTTTACAAGGTTAATTATTCGATTATTACGAAGTAAAGGTCGTGAAAAAAATTAAGTCCATATTATCTCTAAGGCTTTCTCTTGGGTTATTTTTAAACCTTTTTAAAAAAAATCAATAAATTTTAGCCAGACTTCTCGTATTTTAGCGAATCTAGAAGGAAGCCTTAAAAAAAATCAACAAGGAAAGGACTCGAACTAATTAAGATTCTAATGACTACACTTTGCGAATAAGATGACATGTGTCGCATTTCACTTTGCAGAGCTGTTTGTAATTCAAATCACTCCATAAAAAAAATTTATTGCATGTAATTTGCCACAAAGTTAGATATAAGATACCATTCTCTCCAGAGGACATGGAATGATGATTTTTTGTAATGAGTATTATTGCAAACTTCAAAGGGATTTTGAATGTTCCCTTGTCCTCCTGGCATTCAGATGTTGTATGACACCAAATTTTGTACTTTTGGAAGTTGAATGATACAGTGATATAAAATCTCATTTTGATTCAACTGATGATAATAAATTCATGGAAAAAGGCACCATTTTGTGAAGAACTTGTCGAGAGTTCCAATGGTTGTGTCTGGCTCTTATGTGCAAGCAGTTATGGGTATGCTGCTTTTTGTCTTTAAGGTAATCATCTCTACTGAGAGAAAAAAAAAAAAATACAATTTTTTTTAAGAGAATGGAAACATGATATCTTGCTCACAGAAACTTTGCTAAATTGCTGGAACATTAGGGACCTTAAGCAGTCAGGACAGCAACGCCAAGGAAGACTTAAAAAAAAAAAAGAATTTCTACTCTTAGTTAGAATTTCAAAATTGGCTGCATGAGCTTACTAAAAAAAATGGTGCCAGAGCTCAACTTCAGCATGACGTATAAAAGTAGCGTTGAGTTCCAAAAAAAAATTAAAATAATTTGCGGTCGCGGTTTCGGTTCTCAGACGATGCAAATTTTGGCGAAAAAAAATTGTTGGTTTGCATAGGACGACTAAGAAATGTACAAAGTTTCAAAATGCACGTGAAAAAAAATTGTTCTGCCAGTTAGATCTCTTGTTTTTCTACATCTTCGTTGCCGTCGCCGTAAAAAAAACTTAAGGTCCCTATTGACTTTTAAAAGAGGGTGTGGTATGAACAATGAGAACTAAAAAAACTCTGGGTACACATTTAGATGATAAACACCATAAGCATGTGGTGATTGATGGAAAAAAAAAATGCTTTCCTGGAAGAAAAGGATTATAACAGCAAAAGAATTTTCATGAATAGTGAGAAAAAGTGAATCACCGATTATGCATATGTGTGATTACCCATAAAACTTTGAGGTCTCATAAAAAAAGGATCATGCTTTTTTAGGTTTCTATGTTTTTGCAATTGAGTGTAATTTACACAAAAAAAAATTAGAAATTACAATGAAGAGGTACTATTTAGGGGTAGGAGACGTTAATTTCCCAAAAAAAAGATTACTGTGATGGATGTCCTCCACTGGGGTGGGATGGGTGGGTTGATAATATTAAAAAAAATGACAGACCTATATACACAAGGAACATGTGGGATTTCAAAGCTGTGCTCTTAGAATAATCACTGACTGCCCAATGGCTCTGGCCTCAGAAATTTAGGGTGTCCATCTTTTAAAAAAAAAAACCTTTTAACCCTTAAGAGTGACCAATGCTTAATTTCTCCTTACAATATCACCACAAAAAAACACATTGAGGTCAGGAGAACAAAGGAAATGATCACCAACTAAGGAAGCTCTTGAAAAAAAAACAAATTCTCCTTGTCAGCAGCTTAGGAAATGTATAGAGAACATTATGGAGAATAAAAAAACTCGCGTTATAGTGTAAAGGGTTACTAAAAGCAAAGTTATACCAGTTACCTTAAAAAAAAAGACAAAAGAGAACAGCTGTCCTAATCTACCTGATCTAACTGTTTTTGTTGAATGAAAAAAATTCTTTTTGCAGTTCATAGCCCTGGTATTAATATGTGTAGCTGTTTATGCCAAAGTATCGTCCAAAATAACCAGTCTTCCAATCCTTGGTGGTGTTGTAGCCTGTGGTGTCTTCCTCCTTCTTGTTGCCATTATGGGTGTTGCTGGTGCAGTGCGTCACAGCCAAGTGATTCTGTTTTTCGTATCCTTTAAAAATTGTGTATCAGGAAGTGTTTTATATTGCAAAGATTCTTGTTATAAAAAAATCTAATAAGGAAGTAATGATATTATCTTTTGTTTCAACCTTAACTTATGGATTATTAGTATATGATCATCATGCTGCTTCTGTTTATCATTCAAATGTCAGTGTCTATTGGCGCCATAGCAGTTTCACATGAGCAGCAGTCTAATCTAATGAAGGCAGGCTGGGGAAAGATGTCACCCGATGTAAAGACAAAAATCCAAACAATTAAAGATTGTTGTGGATTTAAAAATAAAAATATAACCTCAGGTGAAATGGGGCATCCAAAGTGTGACAAGGTAAGTTTTTGTGGTCTAGAGACTTCCAGGAGGCAATGGCCCCCCTTTAAATGACACCAATTATTCTTGTGGCCATTCAGGTTGCAAAAAAAACTGAAATTGTTGCTTGGTAGCGTTAATAACAGGAAAGCTTTTTTGTTAACATTAAAAAAATATCTTTTGCATTCATTTTTGTGGTACATCGCCTTTGTAATGTCGTCACAAGATAGTGCTTGTACTCAGGCTTCTGTTAAACTCACAACAAGACCTTTAGGTTGCTCTAGCCACATGCACCATTTGGAAAAGTAAATGCACAAAGCACTACATGGCAAAGCTTGAAGATATTTTGTGGTGGAATGGGAAGTTTGTGAACATTAAGAAAGATGGTTTTTGTCTTGTCTTGAGTGTCTATGTCCCATGTCTATGTGCCATGCTGGTAATAAGAGGAAAAATATCGTTCTCTATCTCCTTAATGAGCTCAAAACTTACTAACTTTCTTATTCTGTTAATGTGAACATGGTTGATTAATTGTGAAAGACTAGGTGTAAATAGAACAATTAATGCAAATCCCTGTATTTTCTATTGTAGAGGATGAAAAAAATTTTGTAAGTTATCAGTCACGGCACAGATTTTACTTTCATTTCATAACAAACTCAGGATTTCCCTGAAACCTTGCATACAAGAAGAGAGATTTGAAGTTTTCCCTTTTAAATTCATGACATGAAAAATTATCAACTGTTTTAAATACATACAATGCATGAATTTTTCTCATTTTTAAAAAAAAAATGGGATCAGGACCCCTTTCTTCCCCCCCCCCCCCCCTTTGTAGCATCATATAAAAAAAAAAAGTCTTGTTAGCTAATATGGAAATTTGACTTAATACCTCATGGGTTTAAAACCACTTACCTTCAGTTGGTTTCTTTTGAATGCTTGTGACTGTCCCTTTGTCCTTTGTGTTCTAAAAAAATTGCTGTCGTGGGACTCCTATAGATGATACATGCCCCAATTGTGAAACATGCTATGACAAGTTAAAAGCTGTGGTAAATCATCTTCTGAAGGTGGCTGGAGGAATTGGTCTGTTCTTCAGTTTTACCTTGGTAAGTGCAACATCAATTCACACACTATTTTTAGTTTTATATCCTATGGCATGACATCCATTTTGTAATTATATGCCACTGAGTTAAAAACCCGCACTTGCATTTTGAAAAAAAACTAACCTTATGCACAATCCCGCATATTCTCAAACTCTCAGAAGTGATTAACATGTAACTTCTCTCTTTAATATCTATTCATTATCCATCAAACAAGCATTGAAAATTCTCAAACAAAAAAAATAGAAGTTGTTATCTTGATCAAATACAAAATTCTCTTAATTAAGTTACAAGGAAAAAAAAAGCAGCTAGAGAGGAGAATAAGCAACCAGATTTTAGGAGTTTAGGGTTATAAAAACTGATAATCACTTTGATTATTTTTATGCTTTTCTTCTTGATTTGAATTCACACTCATTAACCACTTGATCAGGACAATATCTGATTGTAATTAACAGTTAATTATCTCTCTCTAAAAAATCTCCTTAACTTCTTCTCTTATTTCTGTCTTTCACAGCTGTTTGGTGTTTATATGGCTTGCCGAAAAAAAAATCAAAAGGACCCTCGTGCCAACCCTGGGGCTTTTTTATAAGTCCTTAGGGTAAAAAAAAAAATTCTTCATGCAACTAACCTTTCCTTAACCACTAGATAGAACTTATAACCATGCTAATTTACCAATAACTGAAAATATGTAAAATAAGATTACAGAGACATAATTGCTTGTACAAAAAAAAACAGGTTTTATTGCATGTTATTTTTGCCTTGTATTTTGATTTTTGTCGTCTGTTGCTGACTGTCAATGTCAGGTGGAGTTAGTCTGATTCAATACAATGATTACATAGATGCCATTATTATTTAATAGAAGCAACACTAGTACCTAGTTTTAATGAGCTTTAAGATGTTATTTTGAAAGACTAACTTTTAAACAATGAAGTGACATGGCAGAGTCTGCTAGCTTTTGGTGGGGGGTGGGGGGAGGGTAGTTATTTTGATAAGAGAGCATCCCCATCCCTACCCTAGGCATATCCCATGGTCCATGTGGAGTGGCTTGGTTCTACAGAGTAGTTAGCCTTGTGTTTAAAGTCATAGAATAAAAAAATTTGTTGTTTGCTGCGAGTCTTTGAAATCATTATTTGGCAAGGAAAACAGTCATAATCCGTGTATTCAAAACAAGTAAGTTTGGTGCTTGAGTGCCATATTTGATAAAATACTTAAAAAAAAAATCTCACTTGCTCGAGCCATACTGGGGAACATTGGCCCTTGGCTGTTTTTATACAGACCTCATTGCACTTGCTCTGTACTGCCACAACCTCGGTCCAATATTCCCCAGTATGGCCTTGATGCTTGGTTAATAAGACTTTATCATTTGAATCTGTCATTCACCCTCTGGAAAGAAATCCATGGATTGACTGATTGTTAAATTTTCCCACATTATGTGTGAAGGTTTGTACTTATAGCAAAAAAAATGATATAACGATTCAAATGTTTTTTAAGCAAAACAAATAGCTTTCTTATAGAGCAGTATTACAGTGTTAAAAAAGTTGTCTAAATGCTTCTTAAAATTTTCTTCCCCAGCAAAAAAAAAAATATTTTGAGAATATTTCTAGATGAGAAAATCTCTGTATGGAAGCATTATTGAATAAAAAAATTTAAGTATTTCTGTGATGTATTTTTCTTGGTGAATTATTTAGGGTTGAATTTTTGTTATGTTAGGTATAAAAGATTATGTTCAAAAAATAAACATTGACAGTATCTTTCTGTGCTTTTGTGCAGTCTACAGTAATATTCCTAGAGCTCATACAAATCCTAGCAGAGAATGATGTACCAGAAAGCTTCTGGCCTTCTTTCATGTTTTTTATGGTTTTTGCAACGTTAATTTTCACGCCTGTTTAATAGATTCGTAATTAAAACTCTGAAGGTTACCTTCCGTTATTAGAACTTGATTAAAAAAAATTTACTCTCGCAAGTGTTAGCTCCGTCCAATCTGTAGCTTGATTCAGGTCAACGACGGGATGTTATGCCTTCCCAACTATTGCTCGTTTTGTGATTTTACGGATTTTAAACACTTAAAAAAATTGAAAAGGTCGGAGATACACTTGGGAATACTCCTCTTTCGACATATTTCTACTGCAAAGAGAGCATATTATCTGAGAAAGTTACCAAGTGCGACTCGTGCTATACCTAAGATTGAGTTACGAGCACAGAGGCTTGCTATTGTTGCTGGTGTCATGTTTTTAACCAATTAGGAAACGCATTGCACGCGACTCGTCGTAAAGTGGTGTTATTTTCGTTTCAATTTGCGCGCAGGAGCTAAAAAAAATAATTTACAAAAGCTGTATTTCGTAGATCGACTTTTTTGGCGTCTCGCAGTAACGAATTATTTCGGTCACAGATGATGAAAGTTTTGTAGGAGGTGACTTTTCTGTGATTTTCCGATAACTTAGCGAAACTTTGACAAGAGAGGAAACGTATAATTTTCCTCTTAGCTCTTGGATAGATACTAGTGTGATAAGTTGTAGCACACCGTAATCGTTAGAGACTCTTCCCCTAATGCAGAAAAAAAAATCTTCCGAAAAGGACTCATACGATAAAACGAAACGCCTACCCCTACCCCTGCAAAAAAATATTTATACGTGTGGGTGGTAGTGGTGGGGGGATGCATCGTGCACATACTCTACGCGTACCCTACTCAATTCAAAACCCGAAGATTTTCATGCTACACGCTGTCAACATTATTTTTAACTCCTAACAGTGTCTGGATGCTAATTTCTCCATACAGTGGCACCATTTAATCAAATCTAAAGGTCATGAGAATTAAGCCGGGATGATCACCAATTTATGAGGCCCTTCAAGATTGGGCTAAAAAAAACCTTTGGAAAAGTGTGTGAACTGAATGGAGATTATCCTTATTAATGTTAGAGTGTAAAGGATTACGACCATACACATACACAGTGATTAAATGATGAAACACTCGTGCTTATCAATCAGTTATTTGTATTTGATTTCAGATTCTGGGAGTGTGTCTTACCAGACGAGTGCGAAACCGCGGACAGCAGAAACTCTATTTTGACTAAGTTACGTGAAGTTTGCTGTTTAGTCACCTTGAAAAAAACCTGAGCACTAGGCTTTCTAGCGAGGGTGGGGATAGGGCGTGAGAAAAAATAAACCTATCGGTCTAGCTCAGTCCCAGTCCCCTTCTTTTGGAATGCCCGATACTCAGGCTACTGAAAAAAATGAAGTTGTGCTACTAATAGTTTGAACAAAAAAACGAAGCTTAGGTAAAATTTGTACACATAATTGCATGATACTGGCTTAGATAATAGTAAATAACAATTGTCTTTATTTGCATTGCAAATCGTAATAATGAGCAGAATTTTCAAGGGAAAAGCTTTTTCAACTAGTTTTAGATTTTCAAGCATTATAAAATAATAACTTCAAGGAAAATGGTTAGAGTATTCAGTGATTAAAAAAAAGCAGAGTAAAGCGGTAGTTAGAGTTAAAAGAATAAAGATATTTCTCCTTTCGAACTAAAAAAGGACTATTAAATATTGGGATAGTTGAGCAAAAATCTTTAAAAAAGAACGCATTTGAAAAAAAAAAAGTCAGTTGGCTACCCGGAATCTTGGCTACCTGGAATCTTGGAAACGTATAGAAAAGCTGGCTTTGGATTCAACATCGCTTTGCGCAAAGAGATTTGACGGAGAGCTTGTAAATCCCCTGTGATAAAGATATTACGAAAAATCAAGCATATATTTTATACATGCACTTTTTACCCGAAAAAAAGCTTTCCCATGAATGTTTGACAAGGATTGCAGCTCCGAATAATTTTGCGCACCAAATATTGGTTTTCTAGTTTTTTAGATGTAAGCGCTAGCAGCTTATGAAAATGTTTTTCGGCTCGAAGCAAGTTGTTGTATCTTAAGTCTCCTTAAAAAAAAAACTTGTGCTTCAACAACATGAAAAAAATTCAAGAATGATGAATAAAATTATTTATTAGAGATATTATAGATTTTATTTTAAAAAAAAATATTGAGGTTGAAGCAATTAATTAAAATTTTGGTCTTGATACTATTTCATACTAAAAAAAAACGTTGCTATTCAAATAAATGAATATTATGTCACTGCATTGTCCAATCATTGTCATTGTTCGTATTTTCCCTAAATCCTACACTTATATGCAGCGTCGATCCGGCGTGGTGCGTGACACTCTTGCGGTACGCGTGACACTAACTTTGCCTTTGCACTGACGCGTCACAAAATCAACAAAAAAACTGTGGAACTCACCATTAATATTTGCATGACGTCACTGATCCAGATCATGACGAAAAAAAATTTAAACATTTGGTTATTTGAACAATAAAGGAGGAAAGGGACATATCAACTTGGAGGGGGGAGGGGTGGTCAGCAATAGTCACGCAAAATTGTCTCATGTTAGTTGCTGACAGTATTTAAATTTTTTTGTATATAGCATCCGCTTAGAAAGAAAACAGCCATTCAATAACGACATTTTTCTTGTTCTTCGCCCAGGTGGGCATCACTTCCTTCCACGCTCTCTCTCTCACTCTCCCCGGAAATTTTTGACATCACCAACCAGAAACCCAAGAAACCGAACCTCCAAATAAGGGCAAGTCCCTTGGGACTTCTATTAAGTATTTCCACAACGACGTGACACAACCTCAGTTGCAATATAAAAAAAAATGGTGAGGGAAAAACTCTTGCTTAGAATTTTGTAGTTTAGCTATCTCTTTGCGAATAATCATTCTCAAAATCTATTTTTCTTTCGCAGGCAACTTTATCGGAAGATCAAATTGCTGGTATCTATCACATTGCCCTTTATGGTTCAAGATTCTTAAATTAGTGTTGAGTTGTTCTACGGTGCTTGAACATTGTTAAAGTAATACAGCTGTTGTAGTTTTGAACTTTTTCTTCAGTTGTTGTATCAACTCATGCCTTTTTCATTTTTGTAGAGCACAAGGAGGCGTTTATGCTTTTCGATCGCCGAGGAGATGGCAAAATTGATTCGGCGCAATTGGGTGAGGTACTCCGTTCACTTGGACTCAACCCAACACAAGCCGAGGTCCACAAGGCTTTGAAGGAAGTCGATCCCTCTGGTATGCAATAAAAAAATTGAATATTATTTTAGAGAATCTCGCAGCTGTGATGTACTTGTTCAAAAACTACTTATTAATTTAGTTGGTATGATTTGATAGAAATATGTTCATTGTTGACTTTTCATTTGCCGAAAAAAAATTGCCTTCGAATGAAATAAGAGATAATTAGCTTACTTCCTTCTAAAGTGTTCGTGTATTTACACGTTAACTATGATTTTTAAAAATGCTTAGCTCAATTTTGCGATCGATCAAAAAAAAAAAAGCTGATCTTGACTTTTTGAGGTAAATGTTTCGCTTTCCTTTCAGTCCTCGCAAAAAAAACGATAGTTATCTCTACTTCATTTACATGTTCGATACTAGCTCACGTGCGGACGAAAACCCGGCTTTCGATAAGTTAAAGATATTGGAAATTTTTCGCTATTCAAATCGACGTAATAATTATAAATGATTTAAAGGATATATTTTTTAACAATTGTGCCTAGATATATTGCATGCTTGTCGCAGCTTGCAAACTAAATGAACTTAAAGAAAACAACTCATTTATAGCCTGCAGGATGACTTCTTGAACGGGAAACTGTATTTCGCGATAACAGTTCTTTAAGTTGTGTGTTTTGAAAGGTGGAATCTTTTGTTGTTCCCCGTGGTCTATTTTGGTACATAAATTTTTACAAAAGAATCACTGAACCTCGGAATAAATGGATCATTATTTTGGTTTGATTAGTCTTTTCAAGTAAGCGCGTTCGTAGAAGCTAGGAGGCAATTAAGACATGTATATAAACGGAAATTGTAACTTGTGTTATTGAAACGACTTTTAATGAAGGCCTAAAGCCTTTTGCACTTCAAAGCTGCAATGTTATTGTTACGTATGATGCACGATCCTCGCAGTAGATAGCGCTATTTAAGCAATAGCGAAAATCAGACCTGAAAAAAATCAGGCCTGTACGGGATTCGAACCACTGACCTCTGCGATACTAGTGCAGCGCTCTACCAATTGAGCTAACAAGCCAACTGGGAGCAGGCCGTTAAGTTGATTCGTAATAAACCCGTGAAAGTGATAAATCAGATACAATGAAATATATGAAGTTCATATATTTTGAACTGCGGTATTAGATACGTATGATGCACGATCCTCGCAGTAGATAGCGCTATTTAAGCAATAGCGAAAATCAGACCTGAAAAAAATCAGGCCTGTACGGGATTCGAACCACTGACCTCTGCGATACTAGTGCAGCGCTCTACCAATTGAGCTAACAAGCCAACTGGGAGCAGGCCGTTAAGTTGATTCGTAATAAACCCGTGAAAGTGATAAATCAGATACAATGAAAAAATATATCTACTGCGAGGATCGTGCATCATACGTATCTAATACCGCAGTTCAAAATATATGAACTTCATATATTTCATTGTATCTGATTTATCACTTTCACGGGTTTATTACGAATCAACTTAACGGCCTGCTCCCAGTTGGCTTGTTAGCTCAATTGGTAGAGCGCTGCACTAGTATCGCAGAGGTCAGTGGTTCGAATCCCGTACAGGCCTGATTTTTTTCAGGTCTGATTTTCGCTATTGCTTAAATAGCGCTATCTACTGCGAGGATCGTGCATCATACGTATCTAATACCGCAGTTCAAAATATATGAACTTCATATATTTCATTGTATCTGATTTATCACTTTCACGGGTTTATTACGAATCAACTTAACGGCCTGCTCCCAGTTGGCTTGTTAGCTCAATTGGTAGAGCGCTGCACTAGTATCGCAGAGGTCAGTGGTTCGAATCCCGTACAGGCCTGATTTTTTTCAGGTCTGATTTTCGCTATTGCTTAAATAGCGCTATCTACTGCGAGGATCGTGCATCATACGTATCTAATACCGCAGTTCAAAATATATGAACTTCATATATTTCATTGTATCTGATTTATCACTTTCACGGGTTTATTACGAATCAACTTAACGGCCTGCTCCCAGTTGGCTTGTTAGNATTTTACGTATGATGCACGATCCTCGCAGTAGATAGCGCTATTTAAGCAATAGCGAAAATCAGACCTGAAAAAAATCAGGCCTGTACGGGATTCGAACCACTGACCTCTGCGATACTAGTGCAGCGCTCTACCAATTGAGCTAACAAGCCAACTGGGAGCAGGCCGTTAAGTTGATTCGTAATAAACCCGTGAAAGTGATAAATCAGATACAATGAAATATATGAAGTTCATATATTTTGAACTGCGGTATTAGATACGTATGATGCACGATCCTCGCAGTAGATAGCGCTATTTAAGCAATAGCGAAAATCAGACCTGAAAAAAATCAGGCCTGTACGGGATTCGAACCACTGACCTCTGCGATACTAGTGCAGCGCTCTACCAATTGAGCTAACAAGCCAACTGGGAGCAGGCCGTTAAGTTGATTCGTAATAAACCCGTGAAAGTGATAAATCAGATACAATGAAATATATGAAGTTCATATATTTTGAACTGCGGTATTAGATACGTATGATGCACGATCCTCGCAGTAGATAGCGCTATTTAAGCAATAGCGAAAATCAGACCTGAAAAAAATCAGGCCTGTACGGGATTCGAACCACTGACCTCTGCGATACTAGTGCAGCGCTCTACCAATTGAGCTAACAAGCCAACTGGGAGCAGGCCGTTAAGTTGATTCGTAATAAACCCGTGAAAGTGATAAATCAGATACAATGAAATATATGAAGTTCATATATTTTGAACTGCGGTATTAGATACGTATGATGCACGATCCTCGCAGTAGATAGCGCTATTTAAGCAATAGCGAAAATCAGACCTGAAAAAAATCAGGCCTGTACGGGATTCGAACCACTGACCTCTGCGATACTAGTGCAGCGCTCTACCAATTGAGCTAACAAGCCAACTGGGAGCAGGCCGTTAAGTTGATTCGTAATAAACCCGTGAAAGTGATAAATCAGATACAATGAAATATATGAAGTTCATATATTTTGAACTGCGGTATTAGATACGTATGATGCACGATCCTCGCAGTAGATATATTTTTTCATTGTATCTGATTTATCACTTTCACGGGTTTATTACGAATCAACTTAACGGCCTGCTCCCAGTTGGCTTGTTAGCTCAATTGGTAGAGCGCTGCACTAGTATCGCAGAGGTCAGTGGTTCGAATCCCGTACAGGCCTGATTTTTTTCAGGTCTGATTTTCGCTATTGCTTAAATAGCGCTATCTACTGCGAGGATCGTGCATCATACGTATCTAATACCGCAGTTCAAAATATGTGAACTTCATATAGTTTTTTCATTGTATCTGATTTATCACTTTCACGGGTTTATTACGAATCAACTTAACGGCCTGCTCCCAGTTGGCTTGTTAGCTCAATTGGTAGAGCGCTGCACTAGTATCGCAGAGGTCAGTGGTTCGAATCCCGTACAGGCCTGATTTTTTTACAGGTCTGACTTTCGCTATTGCTTAAATAGCGCTATCTACTGCGAGGATCGTGCATCATACGTATCTAATACCGCAGTTTAAAATATATGAACTTCATATATTTATTTCATTGTATCTAATATTATTGTTATTGCTCATTTTGCTGTTGAACTCTCTGTGTGCCCTATTATGGCGACTGAAATTTCATCAGATAAGTACTGAGAAAAAAATGTCATTCCCTCTGACTGCGCTTAGTGTTCATAGATTGAACCCTGAAATGAGATTTAATCCTCCCAAGATGCCTTCCTTTAGGAATTTAGACCACAGTGGGCTTAAGAATCATTGTTAGTTAGTCTGCATGTACTGTGCTCTTGTTATAAACAAAATTCATTTCGCAGCTGTTAGCTCTTTCGACAGTTCTAGATCAAGAGGAACGAGCTAACCGCCTCCCGGTTAGCTCAATTGATAGAGCGCTGGACTGTTGTGCGGGAGGTCGAGGGTTCGAGCCCCGGCCGGACCAACACTCAAGGTCTTTAAATAATTGAGAAGAATATGCTACCTTTCTATAACATCAAAGAAATGGTTAGATATTCTAGTCTTCTCGGATAGGGAGGAATAAATAGAGGTCCTGTCTCCTGCAGGGTTAGGGGTAGGAGACATTAATTTCCCACATAAGAGATTACTGTGTGGTGGGATGGGTGGGTTTACTGGGCCCGCGGTAATTGATGCAAACTGTTGCGGTGTCCCTGCCTGTCTGCGAAGTTAAATAAAAAAAAAAAAAACTAAAGATCACCTATCGTCAGCTGAAATTGCAAAATTTTTGGCCAACATCAGTTTGGAGAAGTCAAAATTGTAACACATAGAGAAATCGGTAGTGGAAGTTGATAGTTTTTGAGATTTCTACTATATCCTTTGAACAAAAATATTTCAGTTATTGAATTTAAGATTTGTCATTTAACTCTGTAACTCCAAAGGTCTGATTGTTAATTCTCCTCTTTAGCTGTTAGACATTTCTTGTAAATTAGTGATGAGAATTGGGTATCAGATCAAGATGATATTTCTACCTGATTAGTTTGAGTATTCTCATTACTTGTTTCTTACATGATAGATGTATTATAGGGACAAGTTACATGTCAATCACTTCTATGTCAATACCCTGCTGGCAGAGGCGTTTATTTGTTAACTTCCCCTACGGTCACGTAAAAGAAAGACCTCTGTGCTCGGCCTGTTAAATCTTCTTCGAGCATGCGCGGCCTGTTGCTTAGAAACAAATTAGTTCCCAGTAGTACTCGGCCAACTTTCAACTTCTGGTGACGTGATTGTGGGCTCACACTTGGTCTTGCTATATAGCTAAATAGGATGCGTGTGCAACGTGTTTAAAACAGGTTCTGACTGGTTTTGCAAATCAGATTATCCACATACTTGGATAATTCCCAGGTGCATGCTCGAAGAAGATTTAACAGGCCAAGCTCAGAGGACTTTATTTTTATGTGGACCATAGGGGAAGTTAACAAATAAACGCCTCTGCCAGCAGGGAACTGGGTCAAGGAAGATAGATAAGATTGTTTAAAAGAATTTTTGCCATACCATATTATGCCAAGTTTTGTGAACAAAAAGTGTATTCTTTTCTAGGTTCTAATCGTATCTCGTTTGATGAGTTCTTTCCAATCTTCCACTCCTTTGGTCAAAGGAAGGCCAGTAAAAGTACAAATGAGGGTTTTGTGGATGGCTTGAGAGTTTTTGATAGAGAAGGTAATGGCCAGGTGTCGGCCGCAGAGCTGCGTCATGTGCTGACAGGATTAGGTAATTGCATATTTTGGTACTTTTTATCTATGAGAGTAAATGATACGATGAATATATGAAGTTCATATATTTTGAACTGTGGTTATAGATATGTATGATGCACGATCCTCGCAGTAGAGAGGGCTATTTATGCATTAACGAAAATCAGACCTGAAAAAAATCAGGCCTGTACGGGATTCGAACCACTGACCTCTGGGATACTGGTGCAGCGCTCTACCAATTCAGCTAACAAGCCAACTGGGAGCAGGCTGTTAAGTTGATTTGTAATAAACCCGACAGTGGTTCGAATCCCGTACAGGCCTGATTTTTTTCAGGTCCGATTTTCGCTATTGCATAAATAGGGTTCTCTGCTGCGAGGATCGTGCATCATACGTAGAGTAAATGATCAGAAGGAAAAGTGAATTGGGAGAGACAAGCACTGAAAAGCCTGGTCTATTTTTAAATTTAACAAGTCGACAGTGGTTAAACTTAATCTGTACTCTTATCGACAATGACATTAATTATAACAGTGGTCAAAATGTTTTGTATTGTCTTCCACCTGCATTGAAAGGTCACTTAAAATGGAACCACTCAAATAAAAATTTTAACAAGTGATTTACTATTAACTCCCAGAAGTGATTAAAATGTAACTTCTCCCTCTAATATCCATACATTATTCAGCAAACAAGTTATGAGAATACTCAAACTTATCCACTGAAAGCTATCTTGATCTAACACCAAACTCTTGCAATTAATTTGCAAGGAAATGTATATCAGTTGGAGGAGACAATTCACAATCAGATCTGGGCATTAAAGGGTTAAGGTAGCACTCTTCTTTTGGTGTTGGTGGTTGGGAGAGCCAAAACATACTATCCCAGCATTTAATTTTGACTCCCAGAGGTTGCTTCCTTTTCCATCTGACCCAGGGGTGTTGTGTAGATGTCCCATCGTTGTTGATGAGATTGTGTTAGATAATTATCTTTAGGGAAGCCTGAATGAGACATATTTGGGGTCACGAACTGGTATGAGCTTTTTCCAAAACACTTGAATTACCTACTTTCAAAAAATCTAAATCAATTTATAGGAAGTTTACGGAGGAAGCACTCTTGACTTCTCTTTTTTCGTTGCAGGTGAAAAAATGTCTGAAGAGGAGGTTGATTTGCTCCTCAGTGGATTGGAGGACAATCAAGGCCAAATCAATTATGAAGGTACTGAATGTTGCCTGCCTGCTTCTACTACTACTGAAGTTTTATATCTAACTGGTTTCTGTGACTATAAGTGGTGTAATGTTTATGCATTGGTTGTGAGGGTTACTGTTAGGATATCCAGATCCTAATGGTTATGCTCTGTGTTAGATCAAATCCTGTCCTTTCCACCCTTAAATGCAGCTGTGGAGGCTAGATGTCCTAGCTAGGACTGAAGTACAGCTATATTGTGCCTAACATTTTTAAATTTTATTTTCTTTCTGGCAGAATTTGTGAAGACAGTCATGTCTGGATGATCATTATCCACCCCCTTTTACATACAGAGCTCTCTATCAACTGTGATTACATGTGATAACAATACAGATTATTAATTTATCATTACAAGATGATTTCATATCAAGAGGGTATATATAACTAGGGTGATTTATGAAGTATTATCTATATAAATATTTTCTGATAGATACTTTTGTAGAAAATAAAATAAAAAACAGCCAAATGGGGATCAAGTTAATTGTTATCGCTGTTAATTGCAAACTAAAAAGCCGGTAGAATCTGTTTGTTGGAATGTCACGCAACCCCCCTTGCGTGACTTCCAAGAAAACAGCTGCACTTACGAGACACGGAGGGTGTGTATTACGCGGAGAGCTATTTTGATGACACATATTATGCAAGGCGAATAGTCTCCTTCGATTTGTCACGTAATACGCTTTAAAACACTTAGCGTGACGCGGCAAAACAAATAGCTGCAAAGATGACACATGGCGAGCAGAATTCACCAGAACGTCATTTGTTCTAAGAGATTTGTCTGTACCCATCCTAAAAAACCCAATCAGATTACTTCTGCACCTTATACACCTTTATAATCCTTGAAATGACCGATTCAAATGTTCAAAACTATTTATCTGCTGTGGAATGTTTGTGGCCCAGTTTGAGATAATATGTTTATGTTTTCTTTTTAACATCACTGAAAGTTCAAAACTCTTCGTATTTAATAACTGACACATCTAATTGTTTTGTTAATTATTCGTTGCGCTTTACCTCTTTCGGGTCTCCAATGTTTTGGTTAACAGATGTTATCTTTATGGTTAATTGAACGACGCCCAAAATACAAGGCTTGCCAGCTTTGCAATTTTTGCAATTCTTTGCAACATTACTTTTCACTCGACAAACCTCGAAAGTTCTCCATTGACGTAAGGTTTCGATGTACGGTTTGCACTTCTTAAAAGAATATTACCCTCAAATGTTTCAAGTTTTTTTTTCACATTTAATCCACTTAAACTTCGACCATTCTCGCCTCTACTCTGTTAATAAGAACTTCGCTATTTCTTGTGTTTCTCCTTGCTTATGTTTTACAGTCTCAATCTTATTTGATGACAGTTTCGCAAGGAATGGAATTTTAATGTCAGCCTAAGGAAATGTTTCACCCTCAAGTAAAACTAAATTAAAAATGTTTCAGTTTCGTGAACACTTTTTCTTTCTTGAGAAAATTGCCCCACTATCCCGACCCATGGTATGGTACTTGACCACTGACGCGCTCCAAGACGTCCACTCCCTGTTCATACCTGGATTTCCTTGTCTACATAAGTGATTCTATTCACGTCTGATCTGTGTCAAACGCTAACACTCATCCGGGCGCAATCACAACCTACCTTCACACTTCTCTGACCGCCGAGATGGCCCAACCAACTCAAGAGGAGATGGACGGTTTGTATATAATTCTAAATATCAACAATGTTGAACACAACAAAACACAATTATAAATCTTGCGCAAATATTTTCACGTAGAGTACAAAGACGCGTTCGCGTTATTTGACAGCGAAGGCGAAGGCAAGATTGAGTCGGACCAGATCGGTTGCCTGCTTCGCTCTTTAAACCTCAACCCGGATGATGAAGACATTGTGAAGATTGAAAAAGACGTGGGTGAGTTTTGAAGGATTTTTATCGCGCAATTACGATCTGATCTTTGAATTTCTATTTATTGATCGATATTCAGAAGTTATCTTCTTTGATTCACGTTAAATACCGGTCGGGGGTCTTTTGTTCTATGAGAGACAACAATGCCATCGTTTGGTCAATAAGAGTTGTTTTATCAATTTGGTAAATTAAAAGTTTATTTCTAGAGTCTGCGACACATAACAAGCAAATTTTAAGAATTGTTGAGATAAGCGCAGAGAATGAGTCAAACAGATGTTGCGTTACGGTTTAACTTCAACTATTTAATAGACATGTTTGAGGTTAAGCCTTTTAAAGCTGATTTATCTCATCTTTTGTCAAGCTGGCATCCCATGTCGAGCGATTAACTATTTCTGTGGGTATTTTTCCACACGCGAGTAAAATAAATAGTAGTCTTTTTAATTGATGTCTGACAGTTAGAACCATTTCACTTCGTACATGCATCATCGGGATAGGGAAACAATTTGAAAAAATCGAAGCTCCGAAAACAGACACAGGTGAAAATGGGGTTCAAGTAACTAGATATAAGGCCCTTTCATTATACACATTGTAAGAGCAATAATCTGCTTGGCGATCGAATTAAAAAAAAATCACTTGTTGATTGCGTTTGCGTCCTTTTAACGGTTGCGATTACAAACGCTTCGAATAGTTCGGCGTGCATCTATGGAAAAAAAAAATCACCGAAATTAATACAAAGGAAAATAATCAAACGCTTTGGTGAAAGAGACATGTCATCTAGGATATATTTCAGTAGAGGTACATTAATTGTGTGAGTCTTTCACAAAATGGCGTGGTAGATTCGCAATAAAAACAAGCTTTTTACATAAAGAGCCGCAGGGAAATGCATTGTGCAAATTAACCTACCATGATTAATGCCTGACGGATTGTCAGAGGTGCTCAAATTAGCTATTATATCTTATCTTATCTTTTTTTGTTACTGAATTTAAGCTGAATCTCGTCCGCTGGACTGTGTTCCTCTAATATCATTGTCGTCTACATACTCAACCATTTCTCCTTCGTCAAGTGAATGCAAATTATGTGGTTGTAATTTGTTTTAGAACGAGAATGTTTTGAACAGAAGTCTTTACTCTCAAGACCACCTATTAATTCAGGTCGTGCTCTTCATCACATTTTTACGTGAAAGCTGATACATATTCATCCTACATCACCGTAGCATAATCAGAAAAATCTTTACTCAGTTTAGGAAAATTCACCCGCATCTGTCCAGGGGCACAAATTTGTTAAAATTCGATTTGATTTTTTTCTTTCTTTGAATGAGCAGTTATCTTGAGAGTTTTAAAAATGGTTCGTGCAAATTAACTAAAGGTTATCATTTAATTGAAACACCCACATGATCAGTTATTATGATGTTGAGAAACTCAGCCCAATTTGTGATAAACAATCACATTCGTTGCATAAGTCTGTTGCCATGATCCATAACACACAAGCGAGAGGAGATATGATCAAAATATGTTTTGATTACCACAACTACAGACCGAATCAAAGACGCTTTGGACTAGACCACAAGTCTTAAAGAGACGTCAGTTTTACGATCTTTTCCGCTGATTCACACAATGTTGTTTTGATTTTCTCCCAATTGATTCTTTTCCACCACAAAGTTGACTGTTTCACGATGAAATGAAAAGACATCCGAAATCGCTCAAACCGGTTATCATTCTTGGGGGTGGGGGGAAGTTTAGTTGTGTCACAATAACATTTACTGATCCCTACTCTATATGATATTCCCCCTCTATATATTATCTATGATATTCTCCTTGTCAACACCTTAGGAAATGTTTAGAGAAAAGTATGGAGAATATGCATATTGATGTTAGGCTGTAAAAGGCTAAACTAATAATGTTTTACGCACTTTTATTGTAGGCAATCGCCGTGTCACGTTTGAGGAGTTCCTGGCCATCTTCTTGGCTGAGAAACAAAAGGCAAAATCGGTCACTGCCCAGCAGTTTATCGACACGTTGAGCGTTTTTGACAAGGACAATGCTGGCAAAGTCGCCTCTGGTGAACTACGTCACGTGTTGACCGCGCTCGGTAAGCTGAGGGCCACAAATCTTGTTGGTTCATGATGCGCTTTTCATTTAGGTGCGGTAAAGCCGAACCCAGGATGTTTCATCAGAACAGAGAAAAATGGCTTAAGTAGGCAATAAGACTTCAAAGCAAACTATGCAAACTGCATCGAGCGCGAAAATAGGTTTGGTGTGGGAACAAGTCGCGAGTAGTTTAGCTTTGCATCTGATTGGTTAGGAGGTGGCGTGAGTTTTGTAGACCAATCACCGAGCTATAAAGTAAAGCAAAACCAGTTTAATGTAGGACACTGGAGAAACGATGATGGCAGGGCAGACCGTGAGGACTCGGAAGTGTTATGGCTGTCTTGTGGCGAAGTTCAATGAGTTGGGTGCATATGTACGTTTCCTATTGGTCGCTATTTGGGTCTACGATGAGCCTCATTTTACCGAAACAAAACAAATAGGAATTCCACCAGTTACCGGTGAAGCGTGGGGCATGCGTTAAGGGAGCCATTTTAGGCGTCCGCGCGCTAATTTCCTGCGCAAAATTTCTCAGGGAACCTTAGCAAACAACCACTGTCGAGAAAATGAGCAAAAGAAAATCCAAACGTTCATAGAAATCTGTAAAAGGAAAAAAGTTGTGGAAAAGAGAACTCTCAGACTTTTCAAACGCAAAGCTTATTTCAGTACGGGTATCCTATTGTTTTACAATTCCGTTTTAATCTTTCCCAAGAAAGTTATACGCTTTTAAAACACCGTGACTTACTTGTGTGGGTTTTTGTAACTCGTCTGAGATAACTTGATTCTGACAGACCAACTGGGCATTATAACTTTCGCACATGGGTAGACGTGTGCCCGCTGTGTGAAGCCCTTAGTCGCTGGGGAGGTTATGTTAAATTTTGCGTCTAGTTCTTGGGTGATACACTTCACCAGTCCGTGGTACATTGTTCTCAAAATCCCTGAACCTAGACATATAAAATATTTAACGCCAAGGTAACCCTAGCAGGTTTGCGACTATTTTTAGGCTTATCGAAATTGTTTTGGTTTAAAGGCAATAAACTCAGAGCCAAAGACGTGGACATTTTATTTGAAGATGTTGGGGAGCATGCCGGATTTGTCAACACTGCAGGTATGATACACACAATAACAATTCCTTGATCCACTTCACGAAACAAAATAAAGTAATGACATTTAATTACTTATAAATGTTTGGTTTTCCTTAATCCGCAGATTTCGTCAACATGATAATGTCGAATTAGCACAGAAGACCACTATGCTGTACTATAACATGAAGTTTTTATCAACGATCAGTTAATGGAAACAATTTAACGACAATAACACAATCGATATGGCCTTGGCCTTATTTTTTTCCTGATTTCCAGGGCTTACAAATTAAGAAAAGTATAAATTGATCAAAAATATGGAAGCACTTCTTTTTACATTTTATTAAAGATAATTTTTACTTTTCGTAATGACTTGAAGTATTTGTTCCCGCTGTCTGCGTTCTTTATTCCCCTTCGTCTCACCCACTTACTCGCTAAAATATTGAACTGCACTTCGGGAACCAGGAAAAGCCTTCAATTGTTTTGACTCTCGCCAGATAACCCTTTACAACCTAACATCGGTATACATATACTAAATACTGTTCTCTGTACATTTTCTAAGGTGCTGACAAGACGTATTTCTTTAAACAATCAAGAGCTTCTTTAGTTGGTGATCATTTCCCTTTATTCTCGTGATCTCAATGTTTGATTCACAGGGGTTTATGTAAGGAGAAATTAGATGCTAGTCACTGTAAGAGGTCAGAGGGTTAATCGTGAAATTACGCGAAAATTACCATACATAATGGAGATCTTCATTTGTTTTGTTTTGTTTTGTTTTTTTTGATGAGCTGAATCCTACTCCCATTTTGATTGGTTGTTACCGATAGTCTATTGGGGGACAGAATAGATGGCGTCACCATTACCAATGATTTGTTCTTTTATTTTTTTAACCATTTAAAACATGAAGATTTCGTGTTGCCTTGGGTCTGTACAGTAATCGACCACAGGGGACGTCAAAATTAGCCAAAAAAAAAAAAAACAACAACAACAACAACAGGCAAACTGCCGAAAGCGCGGGAAAACACGGGTGAGCAAGTCACGATTGGATTCAGCCTGATTGGTTGAGAACATACGCGAGCCTGGTTTTCTGGACCAATCACAGAACGGGGAAAAACAAAAGTATTCCTCGATTACTTTCGACTCTCAGTTGAGAGTTACTCTAATTGATGGCGTCGAATTCGTCGTGTGTCAGAGCCGTTTCACGTTTTCGGCCGACGTTTCAATATGTTCTTCCACCATCAGTTTAGCAATCTTTCTCAACTCGACTACATGCAAACACTGCTGAGCGTAAAAAAAACGAAAGTTATTTGTAATTTTCTCTCGGAAAAATTAGTGTTTACAAGCTACTCTTAAATTCGAGAAAAAAAAAGTTTATGTATGCATGTATGCATGTAACGCCAAAAACGAATGAAAAGCTTAATGTGGCGGGTTCTGGCAAAAGGCGATGACGATAGAGTTCAAACTAGTTGTTGTATGAATTAGGTTGCATGTACTGCCGAGGACTACAAATTCTCACGACCAAGTTGTATACAAAATAATTTGGATATATCAACAAAGTTGAAATGGTAAATTGTAGTTAGTAGATGTAGTTAGTAATGGTAAATTGTAGTTAGTTAGTAGATGGTCGGAGCGAATTGGCCACCGTAACGATTACGGTGGCCAATTCGCTCCGACCATCTACTAACTAAGCTCCGACGAAGGGCCAACGCTCCGACAGAGGGCTAACGCTCGAAACGTCAGCTCTTGTAATCGTTACGGCGGCCAATTTACCATTGCAACTTTGTTGATATATCCAAATTATTTCGTTACTCCCACCGACGCAGCCCCAAACAGTTTCTTTAGAAACTATCAGCCTTTATTCTTTAGAAACTACTTTAGAAACTATTTTAGTTTCTTTAGAAACTATTCGAAGGGCTATTCGCTCCGACGAAGGGCCAACGCTCGAAACGCCAGCTTTTGTAATCGTTACGGTGGCCAATTTATCATTTCAACTTGGTTGATATATCCAAATTATTTCGTTACCCCCACCGACGCAGCCCCAAACAGTTTCTTAAGAAACTATCAGCCTTTATTCAAGTTGTATGCAGTTATTAAAGGTTATCGACAGATTACTCAAGGAGTTGACGACGGAACAATGTAGGAAATACGTAAGTTTACCATCAAGTGCCACACTGAGACACCCATCATACGTTATGAACTCTCTTCAAACGAGTGAAGGCCGTGTTCAGCCCCAGATCCCTCAATTACGTCAGAGCGCCTTGTCAAGCCATAAAGTATCGTTCAAACATCAGAGAGAAACCGCTGGAATAACATACTGAAGAGAAAGATCCTCATGGAGAAGAAGAAACTGTACCGCCTTCCCGTTCACAATATCTGATGTTGAAAAGAAAATAAAGCAAAAATATTACAACAGCTAACTAACAAGAGATGTGCAGGAGGTGGGGGGGGTACTTCCTTGTAATGGGGTGATGGTCAACAATTTAGCAAAAAGCGCTTTGAAAAGTTCTTTACTCACTGCAGATGACGCGGTTTGGACTAACTTGCTGACTGTGTAGAAAGGTGGCAAGTTTCTTGACATCAACCCTTGCCTCTGCCATCTTGTCAGGATCTCGGTTGTGGGGTTGAGACGAGGGGTCCCCTTCTGTCGATGTTTGGAAAAGTGTTAACGCGGAGCATTTTGTTGAGAACTGAGGTGGTTCAACACATACGATAGGCAAAAACATATGGACGGAGACAAGGAGGCTTCCTTAGTTGAAGCTTAGCTGAGGGGTTTAAATCCCGATACTTAAAATGTATATTCGATCTGGATCACCATTCAATTTAGCAGGGGTTTCATTAATTTTTTTCAGCAGGAGGGCAACTGGTTTTCACAGGCGGGCAAAACTTTTTTTAACTAAACTTCTTTATAAGATAAACCTTCCTCCAGATTGTTAAACCAGGTGGGCAAAACCGTCGTTACAACCGGTCAATTTGGCTGGTGCCCGGCCCTTAATGAAACCCCTGATTTAGGGTAGCTTGTCAGTGCTTCAGGCTCAACATCTTTCAACCACGGCTCGACACTAACTTTTCATCTAACTAGCCAACTGGCTAGTGACAATTAGATGTTACGACAATTTCAGTTTGTTTACTAGCCAAACTGGCTACATGTAGTGGAAATCGAAAACTACTAGCCAAAACGGAATTTCTTCTAGTCTGTGGCTAGTTGGCTACTGTTAGGGTCGAGCCCTGTTTCTACGTCACCGTTCGGCCAGAAATACGATTCTTATTGCCAAGAGAGGAAAATAAAGAAGAAAAAAAAACGAAACGAAACGCACGATACCGCTTACCAAAATATGCAAACGAGAAGAAAAAAAGGCAACCACAGAGCTTTAACGATATTTCATGTCAAATTTAATGGAAAACCCTAAAAAATAAGTAACGAAACCGTTACAGCTTTCAGTAAGCTTTCTTCAGGTTTATTAGAATACTCAATCGGTACACATAAACATTAAGTTACCCCATGTTGGTGTGTCCAAATTCTTGAAATGCGTCGTGACAGATGCCAAGTCTGTGTCGATTCCAAGAGTCATGTAACCATTTTGATTAGCTGCAAGAATCTAGCGAAGAAAATTACAAAAATTAATGCACTGATTAAATAGAACAATTTTCAAGTAAACATTGAAAATAATTCGGATTGCTTTGGTTTTGCTTTACTTTACGCTGGGATTGGTCCAGAAAATTTGCGTTGCTTTCTCAACCAAACAAATTCAAAACTTAGACCAATTACGAATTGGTCGCCTGCGCTTTCCCTTCTTTTCCCTCCTTTTCCCTTGCTTCACGAGTTCTCAATGACTCCTTGAGACATTTTCCTTTGTTCTGATTGGCTGTTATGATATCTCCCCTCGTTCTGATTGGCTGTTTAGATTACTTTCGATTGGTTTTTGGTTTTACACTTCATCGGAAAATAAAGAGACATTTGTTGAGGTCCTCTTTAACACTCAATGTTTTTCTTTGTCGCGTACTTTTGTAAAATGATTTTACTGCCTTCTATCTCTTTCACAAAGAAAAATGAACTACGTTTTTACTTTAAAATTGACTGTTTTAGGCTCGAAATTAGGCATTTAGGAAAAAAATAGCGCAACCACTTGTAAGTGTAAGATCAATTTACCAAAAAACTGCTGAGGGTCTTCATTCGTTCAATCACATTCTTAAGTACTTTGAGGGGTGGCATGTAGATACTCACCTGCAAAAGACAAGTAAAAATACATCAACCATTCTCCATGCATACTCTTTGTTATCAGACATATATTAATAAACTACCATGATCATATTTTTTGATAGTGCTCAATCCTTAACTCCAAGAGCGACCAGCATCTAATTTCTCCTTACAACATCACCCCTAAATCACACATTAAGGTCACGAGAATAAACGAAATGATCACCAACTAAAGAAGCTCTTGATTGTTAACAAATTCTCCTTGTCAGCATATAAAGAAATGTATAGAGAACAGTATGGAGAATAAGTACACTGATGTTAAGGTATTAAAGGTTAATTCTTATGAGAGATATAGCAAACACTGCCAGAGCCCCCTTGGTACAAATGTCTTTCTCTCTCCAGCCTTCCTTTGCTGCAATAATCAAAGATGGCACCTTTAGTTTTCACCAACTGAGCACTTGTTTGCAAAACTCATGCCTGCTCTACAGCTTAAATCATTCTTTGCATGTAGAGAGGCACTGTACAAGCCAAGCATTTTTCCCTGAGTGAAAAGGGACACTGTGCTAGTAAAGCACTTTGCCAAAGAACACAAAGCAGAGACCAAACAAGTGATAAACCTGGGCCTTAACTGACCTGGACTCTTGTCAGCTGACAACGAAGCCACTGCTTCTCTCCCAGTTGCTAACTTACCAAAAAAGTCTTAGAAAAGGCAAGGAAGTTAGGATTGAATTAGTACTCACATCAAATTCAGGCATGGCAGGTTCCTCGTAGGCATCCCAGTTTCTCTCAGGTATCACTCCAACTGGTACATCATGTACTACACTTCTTGTGTGACTGGTGAGGGATGGCTGCCAGAATCAATGGCTCAATTCAAAGACAAGTTAAGAACATAATCTATTATGTCAATTGCTTCTTATGCTGAGCTCAATTCCACCTGTGTTTGAGGTAACTGGTCAGCAACATTCAAGATTTACAGAAATGATGAGAATTTCTGTTCAGTTTGTCCAAACCAGAATCACTGTCACCAAAAAACAGTCAATTAACTCTTAAACTTCTAAGATGTGACTTTTAATTCTCCCCTAAGAAGTTGGTGTCATGTCAAGATAACTTCTACCTGACAAGTTTGAGTATTCTCATCACCTGTCTGCTAGAAAATGTATGGATATTACAATAAGTTACCAGTTAATCACTTCTAGGAGTTAAAACAATAGTCACACTTTGATAACTGCACTTCATTACTAATTTCAACCGACTAAACCTTTTCCCCAAAGATCTAAAAATGTATTCTCTGTACCATCTTATGTGTATTTCTCATTAAGTTAGCTTGAAAGATTTGCTGTCAAATCAAACAGTATTCCCTAGTTTATACTTTTCATTCTTCTTGTCACCTATCTACTAGAAATTTATTGATATTGTAAGAGGGGGGGGGGTCAGGAAAACTTCATTTTTGGTAACTCCTAAAAGTGAAATGGTGAATAATTTCTGAAATTAACAAGGTTCAAATTAGTTCAAACTAGGGAGGCATGGTGGCCTTGGGGTTAGTGCACATGACTCCGAATCAAGTGGTTTGGGTTTGAGCCCTGGCTGGAGACATTGTGTTGTGTTCTTAGGCAAGACACTTTACTCTCACAGGTGTTTAATAGGGTACCATCAAATTTAATGCTGGGGGGTAACCCTGCGATGGACCAGCATCCCATCCAGGGGGGAGTAGAGATACTCCTGGTAACTTCATGCTTACAGAAACCGGAGTAAGTGCTGGCTGGATAGGCCACTTGGCTTATATACATACTTTACCTAAACTAGTTGAGTTTTCACTGTCAAAGCAGCTTCACCTACCAATGTAATTTCAAAAGTTAAACATGGTGTGTGTTTTTTAGTGAGTTTTATTTTGACAGCTTGAGCACTGCTGGCTGATTTCATGGCTCGCATTAGGTTTTCTGGGATCAATTCAAGGTAAATGTTGTTGCTCTCATCCTTTCCTTCAATGCGATACTCTTCAAAGAAATTGCTCTCAAATAAAGAAATAAATACATTTTGTAAAGACTACTACAAACAACTGCCATAAATCCTCTGTAAAGGGTTCATTTATTTGTACCTGAAATAAATAAACCCCCTGGGGTTTATTTATTTCAGGTACTTTGGGGGGTGCTTATTAGAGGGGGGGCTTATTAATTTAGCCTGATGTTCACTACCAGGATAAAATAGGATATGATGTACCATATTTAATCCAAAATTTTTCTCATTTTACATTTCTTCATTTACCAAATTGGCATGCAGTCAAAATCCTCAGGAAATCAATAAAGCGGAAACACAGCAAACTAAAGTTAATTGAAGTGAAATTACAGTATTTGAATAAATTTATCGTGCTTACTGATGTGGAGTGTTATTTTGGATTTTTGCTCTTTTTAGGAGGGGAAGGGTGGGGCTCAATAAATTTCTTCCTCTAAAGAGGGGAGCTTATTAGAGGGGAGTGGCTTATTGGAGAGGGGGGACTGTCATCTTACAACCTACTTTATCAAATAAAGTATGTATGTATGTATGTGCTGAATGAAAATCTGGGTGGGATTGTGATGCCAAGGCCTTTAAACTATAAATCTTATTAACCCTTTCACACCACGACTAATGATTGGCATTAGTCATCTCTTCATACAATATCAGTACATTATCAACCAGATTTAACAGACCTGTGTCACTTCACACCAAATGGACACTCCTCCAAGGGCAGCATTATCAGCCAGGATGAAATAAAGTTTTGTCGGTGTCATCCGCAAGGCACACGTCTTGGCCATACGGGATACCGTACCTAAGACACCTACATAAAGTCAACATGAAATGATAAGGAAATACATTTATTAAACCTTTAACTGAAAGTTATCTTGACTTGTAAGCATATTTTAAAGGACGAGGTACGTAAGTTACATAAAAGGCAGAGATAAGAGTGAATACTTTGCCAAGTACTTTGACAAGTAAGGTGATAATTTGTTCGGGAGAGAGTGGTTCTGAGGTGGAAGGACAGTTGTCGGTAGTAGTGACCGCAGTTTCTATGACCTTAGCGGGATTCACCATCAGAATGGATGAACAGACAGATTTGAGATGGTACCACCCTTCATTTCATCAAAACGTTTCACTAAATCCATTCTGCATACAACCTCTCTAATACGATGCCGCTTACTTTTTCGCTTCGCTGAAGAAAATAAATTTTGATGCAATCCGATAACTTACGTGTGAAGTGCTGTATGGAATTAATGTCTACCATCCTTGCTCGAAAACGCATATTGTGTTGCTGTTTGGTAAGAATCAGGGGTAAGCCCTGAACTCATTTCAACTCAAAACTACCGCCATTTTGATAACTTCCCACAATGCTTCTAAAATCGTTTGATGCGTGGGGTCTGGGACAAAAAACATTTTGCAGCCTCTAACGGGTTATTAAATGCTTTATATATTTACGTGCCTGCAAGGGAAATATTTAAGAACTTTGAAAATACCTCACCTGGAAATATTATAACTTAAAGAAAGCTTTTTGTGCCAAATATAAACAAATTTATTTTAATTACGCAAATTTCCACTCCCCAACACCATTGAGTCCTTGTGGCCTAATGGATAAGGCGTTGGCCTCCGGATTTAGAGGATTTAGCCAAAGATTGAGGGTTCGAGTCCCTTCAAGGACGAAAGTTCTTTTGACTGTCACTTTTACTAGACAAGTAAAAATTTAGTTGAAAATTGTTTAAATTTGGGTCTAAAGTCATTCACTTATCCGTTTAAGACGAAACAAGTTCACGAGGAGATATTTCTTACAAAACTTTTTCAATACACCAAACAAAACCCTTCCAAGGTTAACGCCGCCATTTTGCCGAGGGTGCAAAACTGCTGGGGCGAACGCAAAATGTACAGTGAATGTATGGAAAAAGTTGAGAAAATGATGCTCGATAATTTGAGGAAGGTTGACATCGTGTAATTTCTATGGATTACAAACTACAGATACCAGACTTACCAGTTTACCGATCAAATTTGAGAAAGGAAGTCCTGCGAAAAAAGCCGCAAATTAAGATTTTGATTTTCCATATATTTGTCTCTAACACCAAACCGCCGTTTCCGGGTACATTTAAAAGCATTTGTATGAAAAACTAAAAATAAGATTTCTCACTTCTCAGCGAGCCTGAACCCTTCACATTTAATCAGTACCATCTTTTGCTAGGTATCTTTACTTCGTAATTCATAGAAATTGCAGAATGTCAACCTTCCTCAAATTATCGAGCATCAATCTCCCCACTTTTTCCATACATTCACTGTACATTTTGCGCTCGTCCCAGCAGTTTTGCACCCCCGGAAAAATGGCGGCGTTAACCTTGAAAGGGTCTATTAAATATACATCGATCGGATTAAGGGCTGTAAATTTCCGACTGGTTTAATTCGTTTGGAGATAGGAAATTTCATCAATTTAGAGACCATCGCCGTGCTTGGAGTACTGCTTTGCAACACTCTAGTTTACGTAACAGATATACCGATAGTCTCTTTTGTGAGTGCCGAAAATAAAAATCAGTTGGATTTTTAACCCTTTGTATGTACTCAAACATTGATATACCCTCCAATTTTTGTTTACATTCCCCATGGTACTGACAAAGGCAATTTGTTAGATAATCGGTAGCTTTTTGAAGTAGTGATCATTTCCTTTATTCTCATGGCTTTTACATTTGATTCAAGAGCGGTACATGTAAGGAGAAATTAGAATCAAGTCACTCTTAGGGATAGAGAGATGAAGACTTTAAGTGGGGTAGAAACACCCAGGACCGTCTTGGGCTGTTTTTGTTGTTGTTGTCGGAATTAGTTACACTACTGAGCCATTGGGATGAATATTGTGTGTAAGGTCAATATTTCCTACACAAACAAAACAAACAACAAACAAGCCTTTATTTCATCTCGAATTTAAAATAGCAAAAAAACATGCTAATATCTCCGAGAAAATAAATAAATAAATAAAATAAAATAGTTATGGGGAACAAGATAAATACATAAGACACAAGTAATTGATACAATAGGATAAACATTTACAACTTTTTACAGAATGGAAAGCAGTCAGTATCAAATTTGAAATTACAAATAGCCGATTTAAAAGCTTTAACTGTTGGCTGTGACCTGATCATGTTGGGGAGGGAGTTCCCAATAGTTTGCTACCATAGTAAGATAAAGAGTGCAAGCCATATGTAGTAGTATTGACAAGGGTTTCAAAAGCTTTTAACTCCAAAGATCTAATTGTTAATTCTTCCCTTTAGCTGCTACATGTTTTGTAAATTAGTTACAAGAATTTGGTGCTTGATCAAGATTGCAACTTCTACCTGATGTGTTTGAATGTTCTCAATACCTGTTTGCTGGATAGTGTATGGATATTGTAGGGAGAGGTTATATGTAAATCACTTTTGTGAGTTAATGGCGTTAAGGTAATGGAAAAGAGGAAATGATCACCAACTAAAGCAACTCTTGCTTGTGAAACAGATTCTCCTAGTGCGCCTTTGGAAATGTATTGAGAACATTATGGACAATATGAAAATAGATTTTAGCATATAAAGCTTAAAAAAGGGTCACAGGAAGTTAAGGAGGGCAATGGAACTCTGTTGTTACAGCTTCAGCCTGGGCTCAAAAAAGTAATTTTCTCAACTAAGCACCATGCCTTTCATTGTAGATCAGTAAAGAGAAACTGGTTTATATTAAGACTACACTCTCTGTTTGAGTCTGTCTGTTCTCATATCCCATATACTGAATCTGTAATACATAGAGGATATTACATGGCCGTGTGAGGATACAAATTTTACCTTCAAGTGCTGTAAGTATCTCTCACCGTGAGAGATACTTTTGGCACAAGAAAGTAAAATTTGCATCCCTAAACAGCCATGTAATGTTCTGTCATTTTATAGATACTGATGAAATTTCCACATAAAACACAACTTTTTTTATTCATTTGTTGGCTAATCATGTTAGTAACCATGGCAACACCAATATCCTCACACATGAAAGATAGAAATAGTATCTTCCCTGTGTACGATGAAGATATGATTTTTTTTTTTGTAAAAGGAAAACTCCTGGTATTCCTTCAGTATCTATATAATAAATACATTTTAATCACCCCTGAGAGGCTAGAGGTGAACCAGATAACAATAAGTATGAATTATACATCCATTTTGGTTGGTCTTTACTTGCGACCTATTGGAGGGCAGATGCATAGCTGATGTCACCATGGACAAAATTTTGCTTCTTTATTGTAAAAAAGTAATAGATTCCATGTTGTAATAGATCTGTTCAGTACTTAGATTACCGAAGATTTCAAAATGTGGAAAGAACATCGGTCACATATCAAACCACTTGCTGTATCAGTGACACACTGAACTGGGCCTTATGTACCACTTTTTTCTTTTTGCCACATTTTGATATCATTTGTGATCCATTACTGAACAGATCCATTGCAACATGGAATGTATTTGTTAAATACTTAAATGAAATCATTAAGTTAAAATGCTAGTTGCTTGCAGTTTTATCACCAAAAGCAATTCAATTCTAAATATAAATTTCATTGCAGATTTTTTTTTAAATTAAATCATCTCACAATTAAATTCAAAAACTGTATCAAAATTAAAAACTTGGGGTTTTTTGTTAAATCAACTTCTCCCTGAGTAATTTTCGAGGGAATGCGAGACAATTTGAAATGAGAATCTGGCATTGTATCAGAAGTCTCTTAAGACTTTTTTTTTCACACAATGTCACTTGCAACAGCTTCTTTAGTGTTACTGTGGCATGGACCAATAACTTAATATACATAAAAACAAATACTGTATTTCATAGAATATGCACCCACACACTTATTTAAAATTTTGGTCAAATTGGAAGAGGGGCACTTATTTGTGGAGGGTTTTTATTAAACATGAAGGCGTGCTATATAGGAAGTCTTCCCTGGGAAGACCTAGGCTCATTTGTCACTCACTGTTGACGTGTGTGGGTCAAATTTAAATGCTGGTAGACAAACAAAAGGAGCTGATGAGATATCTATTGTTTACTTCCACCAGCATGGTGGCATGAGGTAACGTGCGAACCACCTACTTCGATCTCAAATTTACCGCCACAAATAAAGACAGTTTCCATTGGAGAAAGGAAACAAAATCTCAAAAATTCTTGCATTGTCATAAAGACATAAAACAATTTTGAGGAATGCACCCACTGTTCACTGCTTTGGAGTAGCTGTAGCTCAAGCTGACTTGACTCTAAGAGTTCTACATCACACGACGATTGATTGACAAATGGTCCAGTGGGACCTAAGGCTCCTTTTATAGCGCGCCTTCATGTTTAAGTTAGTGCAAGTACAGCATGTATAGAAACTCTGCAAGCACATGGAGATAGAAATAACTTGTATCCCTATTATTGTGAAAGTGAAGTAGGAGGGGGGGACTCTCATTTGAAAGGGATTCTTGTTTCACCCTTTCACTCTCAAGATCTGATTGTAAATTCTCGCCTCTAGCTGCTACACATTTCCTTGTAAATTGGTTATGAGAATTTGGTGTTCCTTCAAGGTAACAACTTCTACCTGATAAGTTTGAGTATTCTCATTACCTGTTTGCTGGATCATGTATGCATATTATTGGGAGAAGTTACATGTTAATCACTTCTGGGAGTTAAGGGTTAACATTGCAGCTGGGGGGKGGKGKGKG